AAGAAGAAAGGCAGTGAGTATCTAGGCACAAATGGTAGACTTTGGTATAAAATGAAAATGGCGGGAACAAACTTCAGATTACTAATTCAATGGTCAGTGTTGGCTAAATTTTCCAGGATGAAGCACTATCCTTGTTTTGTGGATTATTTGGTTGATAATTTTTAAGGGCATTTTCCCAGATTTCTCCAAGTGTCTACAGAATTATTTTAAGTAACCTTAATTTTAAAAGAAAAAAAGGATCCTAAGACCGTACACGCATATATTAAAACATAGTATCGTTTAAAATAGAAACCTAAAACTATTTACTAGATACCACAGAAGCCAGCCAAAATGTGATCAAAATGAAAAAATGAGTTCACTTAATCCATGAAAGAATTCAGGTGTACATGTTGAAGAGTCCCAAATCTTTATGAACTCTTTCATCACACACACAATAATATATATATATATAATTGCAATTATTTTACTGTAGTTACTTCTGTGAATTTTTTTTATTTTAATTATCTTTATAGATACAACATTTAATACTAGAGTAATGGTTAACAAACTAGCTAAGCAAATCATTACTGTTGCATACTACTTGTGGTTTTGTATCATAGTAAACTAAGTTTAATAATGATAGTGCACATATCTGGAAATAATTTGAGGTTCAGCCTCTACATTTGCCAGATAAATCAACCCTACAAAATGTCATCATCACTATTTCTATCAGAATGTTAAGTCTAGAAAGTTTTAAATGGGCTGATATGAAAAGTGATTACCACCCCCCATGTTTTTTTTTTTAAAAGATATTGATGATGAATAAGTCATTATTATTCTGTGAATTAAGGTTTTTGCTTTATCTGCCATCTTTTCTAGCCTGCTGTCTATCACCACAAACTGATTCCCACATTTCCAAGCACTTTGATAATGTTTTGAATAATATACTAGGTAGTTGCCACAGAAATGTTCAGGAAGTTTATTAACCTAGAAATTATGATTGCTAGAGAAGTGGCAGAAACAGAATTGTTCACACACTGTTTGAAGAAGAAGCTGTCAAAGAACATATCTTTATTAGATCTTGCTTTACAAAAGAACTGGTTTTTACTTTTTCATTAGTTAAAGCTTTAAATTGAGATTTTTCTGAACAAATATCAGATTTAATTAGGAATCAAAACAACCTGTATAATAATAATCCAATCCCTGTTTGTAGTTTCATTGACCTAACACTGCAAAGTAAGTTTTTTTGTTAAAGCATTTTGATGGGATTGCATTAACTTGAAGATTAAAGCAATTTCAAATCTAATTTGAAACTTAATAGTACAGGGTCTGTATTCATACTAACAGAGTTAATAATTTTCTACTTTGGATCATTAAAAGCTGCATAGATTTACAATACCTTTTAACATTTTGTTAAAAAAAAATATTAATTTTTTTTTTTACAAAATGAAAAAACACACCACAGATGTTATTATTTCATGTAAAAATTGTTCATTTTTTTTCATTTCTTTTCCTTCATGAACAGTTCCACACATTAGAAACATTTAATTCTAAGCATGTTCTAAAATAAGTTAACATTAAACTCCTGCTGATTAGGGATTAGTAGAAGTACAAGTAAAGCTAACTTTAAATTTAATATGTTTGTTTAAGATTCATGTACTAGATAACATTGTGCTCAAAAGGTTGTCTAAGTGATTGCTAACAATAACAAATTGGCTCACTGTAAAAATGTTGAATATGAATTGAAAAAATAATGTCATAATGACTAAATTAATAGTATGCTACAATTTGTTTCACAGATTGATTTGAATAAAGATGAAAGGAAAAGTTATCTTAGCTGACATATTTTGTCCTCTGAGAAACATCAAGGCAAATGCAAGGATTTTATTTTGCATTTGTCTTGATAAAGTCCCTCAGAGGACAAAATGTGTCAGCTATGATAAGTTTTCCTTTTGTTTTTATTCATATTGTGCTTTTACAGATAAACTCTATCTGAAATTTTTATATAGACTGACTTCTATAGATGCAGATAACATAAAAAGAAAGGAAAAAAAAAAAACAAAACAAAAAAAAACATCAGGACTCAAATCCATGGCATATTCATTCAACCACATCCAAGCTGTCATCAGCATTAAAATTGGGTTTGATTTAATAAAGTATCTATTTTTATTCTGACATCTATGAAAGTAAAAATGTCATATAAGTTCCCTCGTAAATAGGTATTTTCATAGATTTTATGGCCCCGATTCTAGACTTTAACCATATAATATATATAGATTATATAATATACAGTCTTCCAATTTTATAGAGGTTTGTTAAGGAGATGTTCTTGCAGGTGAAAAGTTTCTTAGTTTCAGAAGAATAATTCAACTTCTTTATAACAAGTTGGTAAAAGTGGGAAAATTTCTGTTGGAGTTTTTGGGATGAGGAATTATCATTATTATATGCCTTTCCATTTCGATCTGTATACTAATCTTTGTTGTCAAACACAGGATTTGCTTGTTGTATCCTCCAGAATTTTGAATTGGACCCTTCATTCAATCTATGGCAGTAGATTGTTCTCCTGCTTTTCATTCTTAGAGGAGATAACTCATATCAGTTAATTCTCTCTTAACTATTTGCTTCTGGGTCACTTGTCCATTTGGTTCAAAATTTTGAGAAGGCAACAGACAACCAAAGACAGCCAGAGAATAAAAAAGCTAAAATGCTGCGAGTATAACAACTAAGATGTGTATACTAGTCTGAGTGAAAAGGTATATACTAGTGATGAAATGGATAGAAAAGTAACAAAAATATTAATTCTTTCATATCAGGAGTCTGCATGGCTTCTTTTTTTAATTATACATTTTCTCATATTTAAAAAGAATATAAAACAAAAAAAAATGTATTTTCTTTTAAGAAATAAAGATTCATGACAAGTCTATGAAGATAATTTATAACATTTTGCTTGCATCAATTAAAACCCCTCTTGATAAAAATGAACAAAAAACATTGGAATCACTGTCTTTGAAAATTTACATACAAATTGGATGGGTGAGAAGCCCAGGGATACAAAGATGAAATAAATACATATAGATACATACATGTCTACATATACATAACTTGGTAGGCATGTGTTCAGAACTTGGAAAATAATTAAAAAAACAAGCAAAAAAAGAAAACATTGAGTGAAAACTAAGCACAATTTTATTGAATTTAAATTAAATTCAAACAAATTTAAAATATATATAAATTTAAAAATATTGCCTTTTTTAAATCATGATTTACATTTTTCTTACTTTATACTTGTAAAACCACTTAAGTGATATCAATAATAAATAGGAGTAATATTTAACCTGTCTGAACTTAACCTTTAATATTCTGTATTATTCACTACTTTCCTTTCCGCTGCAGTGTTTTTGAAGGTTCCTCTACTGCACTACTTAATTTCAGTCATGGTCATTTTCTGTTGCCATAGCAGGAGATGACAACTTCAAAATTCAAACATGCTATTATTCATTCATCTGAGTCACTTGCAGTGGCAGGATAAAATTTTTGCTTTGCAAGCGAAACCACCTCCAGTATGTTAAAGGTTAATTTTCCTGATTGGCAAATTATGCCTGACAAAATTTTAGTTATAGAAAACTACATACTCCAGTTTTAAGAATTTCGGTTTTTTTTTGGTTTTTTTTATTTAAAATGTTTATATGTTCACTCCTATATAATTCACCTCTCAAGTAGGGCTTCAATGACATCATTCCTTCTCGACATTACAAAAATAAAAATAGCAGAAAATTTGAAAGAATGGAATTATGCAATGTGTTTTCTGTAGCTTGGAAATTCCTCTAATCCAGTGTTAGTGAAATCCTAAAGTGTGTAGGCAACTTTGACCTTGACTTGCATTTGATAAAAATAGTATCTTAGTTTTCACTCAAAGTGATAAATAATAAAAATGGACTGCTGCATGCCGAGAATATGTGTGGTGATGCATATATAGAAATACACAGAAGATTTGCTTCCCACCCATCCCCAAAAAATAACACCTCCACCATTATATTTATTTTACAAAGAATTTTTCAACAGCATATAGCATTATTTGTCAACTCTGCAAAGCAATTGCTTACAGCAAGTTTTGTGGTCACACCTGACAACATTATGTGGATGTTAAACCTTAATATTTTATAAAAACTTTGATGGGCAAATATTGTTATGTATATATAGTTCCAATATTAGGCATCAGAATGCAAAGAAAATGGTCAAGAATGCTGAAAATGATGAAGAATGTCAAGATCATCTGATGCCAGTCATAAACTGGATAAAGTATAAGACAACTGAGGAAGGAAATTTTTCTTAACAAAATGATTTAGACATTAGACAAGGTATGTTTCTGTGGTTTCCATTGAATACAACAATTACTGATCTTTCAAAAACTTCTCTAGTTTCAACAGTGAAGTACATTTTGTTGTGGTTTAAGATCAGATTTACTTTTGGAAAGATCTTGTGACAACACAATCCCATCCATGGGACCCGTAAGAAAAAAAGTAAACCTCATACACAGCCTTTTGCTGCACTAAAGATTAAAAAAAAAATACAGCAAATGCATCCAATTTATTTTGTTGACATAATAATGGAAGCTGGACAAAGATTCACTTTACAACTGAGAAAGAACAACTCAGTTATTTAACCACTGAGTGAATGTGATTTAATTACAAATGTGCAAGACTGATTCTAAGATGGAGTTATTCTGGAACTTTTCCCCCCAATTATTTCCCAGTGTGCATTTGCCAATTCCTCACTGTGTACAGATCAGACAGAGATGTGTTAGTAAATATATGTTTTGTAGAAAAAAAATAGAAAAATAAAACATCCACAAAAACCCAGTCTGAACCTTTCATTGGCTTTAATATCCACTTTCTTCTGTTTGGTGTAGGTTCGAATCCTGCTGAAGGTGAACATTATCTAATTTGGTTTCCAAATAAGCTATATTCATTTGTTAAGTTTTTACAAATAGTCTTCATCTTTAAAAAAAAAATTTAAAAAAATTAAATTTTAGCAGCATCAAAAATATCTGAATTGGATTTGATTGGTTCTCCTGTTGTACTGGACACTCTGGTAATCCCTTTAAGTCGAATTGGAGACTTGTCAGGTAAATTGGATTCTGCCCGGACTCTACTGCGCATGTTCAGTCCACTGGTAATGAGCTGGCCAAAACCCTCCTGGTGAGCAAAAGCATATCCTGATCGCATAGACCGTTGGCTTCGGCGAATGGTGGACCTCCGGCCAATATTGAAGTCACGAGACCTGGACTTGGTTTTAGTCATACGTTGTTTCATGCGTACTCGGTCAGAGAGTGTTGGTTGTGTGTCTAGAGTGTAAAACCGATAGGCAAGGACTGGAACCAAAAGAATGACACAGGTGAGAAGTAAACTGAACCAAAATTGGGCTGTTGAGAAGACTGCTGTGGCGACACCCATATAATTGTATTGGAAAATGTCAGAGTAGAAAGCAATGATGAAACAAAAGAAGAAAATGATGCTGCCCCAAATGACAAAATGGTTGAAGCCAGTCCAGTACGATGTGTCCAAAGCACACTGGAAAGAAAAAAAGAAATTAAACAGCTTCAATATGAATTCAAATTATATATTTAATATGTATTCAATTCAGAAAATTGCTTTACTGCAAACACTTTTTTTTTCTTGTTTGCACCTTGTAGTTGTACTTATAACAGGGTTCTAGGGGTGTAGTCAGTTCCTTGTCACAGCATTTGCTCACAACTGGTTGGTTTACTGCAATAGATACAACCAGGTAGATTGGGTAATTCATCAATATCAGCTGACTACGTCATGCCTGGGAACGAGTGTCAACAAGGCTGGTAGATCTCTCTGTAGCACTTCACAGAGGTTAAGCCTTTTCCACCTGTCTATATGACAGCAATTGTCAGTAGTTGAACCCAAATTCTGTTGTTTTGTTCCTGTAGAAAAATCAATGAAATCAATCGATCTGCAGAGTGTGATAACCCTTTGCTTCTGGTTATGGTTGAATTGATCATCAACTTGGTGGGGGGGGGTTGGAGAAAAGTTCATTGACAAACAAACCAAATGCATCCTGTAAACTTAACAGAATTTAATGTGAAGAGAAAAAAATAAGTCTACGGAATTTAAATTCTATGAAATGATGCCTGAGGGTTTTCTCTGTATTCACTGAGCCAGTATGTTGGGCAAAATGTGGATGTCAGTATCTGTCTATATTTCTGAGACAAGGTATTATGTACATTATTCAGATTATTGTCCTCTTTGTCGCCATATTTATTACAATGTTTCGGCCGTTGTACACTCCGGCCTTCTTCAGGTGGTTGGAGTGTCGAACTGAACCCTTTATTTTGCTCACTGGGGTAGACTGTTCTAGTTCCACATGCCATGTTTTTTAATGGATGTCAGTTATCAGTTATCTCCTGTTAATTTCCCTCTGAAAGTTCTCCACTGCCTTAACCAGGTATTGAACTCACACTCTTTGGGTCCTGTCACTGAATCTAATCAACGCCTTTATCCACTGTGCCATGTGTCCTTGACAATGGCCAAAACGTTGTAATAAATATGGCGACAAAGATGAGGACAATAGTCCGAATAATGTAAAAAATGTGGATGTGTCGTCGAATCTGGGTCATTTGCTCCCCACACAGAAAATGACTTCCAAGTAAAATCTATGCTGATTTATATGAGTAAATCTATCCCAATAACAATGATTAATGACTTCACTTTACCTAGCCAGGCTCCAGAAAATGACAATTTACAATGCTCATAGCTCATGTTTCATTATTTCTATATTTCTGTGAATTAACAAGATGGTCAAGGATTCCCCACCAGAAATCTGAAATAATGATAATTATAAAAATTGCAGATGATTGTCACAGAAAATGGACATCTGGTTTCTCGGTAGTCCTCAGCTTAAAGTAATTTCATCTTTACCTTGTACTAACAATTTTCAAACAAACACTGTGACCACCCAGATTGAGTTCATAAAAAATATATCCAAGTGCCATATATCAGCACACCAACTCTGTTCTGGCCAAAAAGACACTTTACCTTGATATCTGTACTTAAAAATACAATAATCTTACTTTATCAACATAACTTCTCATTTCTTCCAGTTTCTGGTCCAGGGTTTGTACCATCCTGAAGCCAAACTTAAATTTGCCAAACATTTTAATTTTCTGTTTATTTAAATTTTAACCCCCAAATGCTATTTTTACATTTCTATTTATGAAACGTCAATTTCAGGGTCATTAACCTGTTACAGTAATAGCCATTATAGACTTATGTTGTCCAAATTTCTTAGATGAAGCATTGTCAATATTTCAGACTAATTTTTATTTAATCTGCTTTTTGTTGCAATGTTCAAGTCATCTATACATTCTATAAATAAGTGGAGGAAATTGGAAATATAAATCAATGAGTTCATAACAATGATGAACAAAAGAATTTATTTAAAGCATCTAGCCATTTCAACTGTAAAATGATGAGATCTTGCTGCTAATCAACTACTACATTTAAATTCATAAAGTCTAGGTACCATAGAGGGAAGTTCATCAGAATAATTACGTGAAAGTATTAAAAGAAAAGGCACAAGGAAACTATGTTATGGCAGTAAGAAAGTGACTCAGTTGAGGTACCAGGTCAGGGCCAATAATATTGCAGATTCTTTGGATTTTATCAAGAATTTCTAAATACATAGCAGGTGCACCAGAACAGATGTGGGAACAATATCCAGTGCAGGGAAAAATGGTAGATTTATAAATATGTAATACAGATTCTAGCAATAAAAATTGCCTAGCACAACACAGTGAACCAACTTTCCTAGCTGAAGACCAAGCAACTGATTCAATATAGTCTTTCCACTTCATGTCAGCAGAAAATGTTAGTCTGAGTCAATGAGTTACTTTCCTGGATGGAAGGTAAAAAAAAGTTTCTCAGATGATTAAAAGAGAGCAGTTTAATTTGAGAGGTGGTAAAATTAACAAGCCATTCCTTGACCCAGTTAACAAATGATTGTCAAAAATCAAAGAATGAACTGTCAAAATGTGGTGTTTGGGACAGGAAGAAAACAAAATTCATTGAATGGATATTTATCTACTCTCCTTAAAGAAGTGTACTTGCAAGATGTCCGTCTCATGGAGAAATTACCTTTGTTTGCTCAGTTATCGCCATAGACATCAGAGTGCATTCTACTCTATTAATGATATCTATCAGATGGCTTTTTGTTCATTCAACTTCAGTTTTTTTTGTTGGCTTCCAGCATGAAGGAGCCTGAAATCAATAACACTTACAATTAACCCTAAGAAAAAGACGATAATTGTATAAACTAAAGACATACCCTGACATTGACAGCGACCACCAGTGTAGAAGCCACAGCAACACCAAGTGATTGATGATCCCCAGCATCCAAGCCATATTGGTTCACACTTTCTTTAAAAACTCCGTATGGTATGAAAAATAAAATCAGTGATGAAAGAATCCCTTCAGCCACACTCCACATAAACAGCTTTTTGTTGAAAAGTAGATTCTTGTGTCCTGGTGTATAAAGCTTAGGATATCGTATTGAATAATATTCATCAACATCCTAGAAAAGATGGAAAAATAACATGAAATAAATTAAATGTTTCTTCTTTTCCTCTTTCCCTATAAAGAATACACATTTTTTTTCTATACTTTTATCAGTAACACTACTCTTGTGCAACACACTTTGTACTCACTACCTTTGATAACTGCTGTTCAGTATCAAAGTCACTTACTATTTACAGAATCTACAATTATGTGCAAAGCCTAATTATCAATAAATCACAAAAATTCTTCTGTTTATTCCTAGGTTCTTATTACAGACAATGGAAACAACTCTGTAATTATTAGTTTTGTCCCACTAGGAAAGATAATTTTTTGGTTAATTTCTAATTTATCAAAAAATACTGGTAGACTGATTGAATTGAAAGATTGAGTAGCATTGTATCAATAAAAATATGCCCAACAATTGGCTGGGTTACAGTAACAAACGAGAATTGAATCATGTATGGTTGATTTTGTTTAGTGGCATATCAAACTCTTGTTAATCATTGTATGATCTTAAGATCACTTGAGACATGAAACTGCCAGTCAGCATTAAATGTTGATTCCTATGTTAACACTGTCTATATCTATAAATGCTTCACCTCCAATAGTGAACATTTTTTACCCCTCATAAATAGCGGACATTTTTCGCCCTTCATAAATAGTGAACATTCCTCCCCCCATAAATAGTGAACATTTTTCCTCCCTCAATAATAGTGAACATTAACCCCCATAAATAGTGAACATTCTCCCCCACATAAATAGTGAACATTTTTCGCCCTTCATAAATAGTGAACATCCCCCCCACCACCATAAATATAGCAAATGAGTGGATAGAGTGATTCCTGGAGGGGTCCACCAAGGAAATTCTGAAGTTAGGATGCTGAATGTAACATCAATCAGCTAAGTAACAAACCTTATACTATTAATTCTATTAATGTTCTATATTTGATATCTAGCACTTTATTGCAAAGACTGCTTGCCTTAAATGTCTTTTCTCTCAGTCTCCCACTGACAACATTTTTGGTTTTAAACTATCTTTGATATCACTATTATGAGGGGGAAAAATGTTCACTATTTATGAGTGGTGACAAACGTCTGTTTCATGCTTAAACATAATTGTCAGCTACACAGTAATAACCATGTTTCAATACTGTCCTTTCTATATATATATATATATATATATATATATATATATATATATATATATATATATTTGACAAGGGATTTGATATATGGCAAAGGAAGATTGTGCTGCCCTGAACTTCTAAGTTTGAAAGAGTTGCTTGTTTTGAAAATCAGGCTTCAAAATTCTGTTTTGTACCTGGGTGGGAGGTGTACACCTAACACTGCTCCTAGTAAGAAATATGTGATTACTTTAGCCACCAAGCACACCAAAAGTAAATTATCATCAGATCTAATTGTCTAGTTTAAGAAATAAAGAAAAATGTGAATAAGTTCTTACCTGATCAAAAATAGCCATTGCTAAAACTGGCAGAGATGTATAAAATACATTGTAGAGAGAAATGAAAAATGGATCATACAAAGTCTGAAAAAGAATGAGTATTTAATTCAGAATTTGTGTTGAAGTTTCTCAAGTTTCTGTTTTTTTTAAAGAAAGTTTAATTAATGTTTACCAGCCTAGAGATTGAAAGAAAAAGAAAATGTGCTTCCTGACAGAAATTGAACCTGTATTCCCTTTTCAATTTGAGAAACTAGTTTAAAAAATGTCTCAACCTTAGATGTGCATTTCTTAAGTAGGGTAACTGAGCCTTGTTTTGCTGTGATGGTTTCCCATGGTTCAGTGGTAAAGTAGGTCTGATGTTTTCCCATGGTTCCGCAGTAAAGTAGGCTTGATGGCTTCTCATGGTTTAGTGGTTTAATTTTTTCCCCCAGATTAAAAAGGAAATACAGGTTTGTTTCCTGAGGGAGCCAGGGTAATTTGGAGGAGGACTTTTGATTTCTAGGATAGTAGCCATTGATTTCAATGTAAAATAAATTAAGAAAAAAAATGTTTACTGAAACACATACATTCAATAATATCAGACAGTAATCAAAAATTGTTTTTAATGTAAAGAGAATTGAATTTTACATAATTACCAAATAGTCAATTGTCATTCTAGAACATAACTCAAATGTAACTACAGTGTAACCCGGATATAAGAGAAACCCGGATATAAGAGATTTTCTCTGGACTCAAATTAGAGCCTGTGTTAATGTATATAAAATAGACCAAACCCGGATATAAGAGACTTCTTCTCCGGTCCCGACAACTCTCTTATATCCGGGTTACACTGTAATATTCAAGACATTTTTCAAGTTCTTACCTGTGCAGAAAATCCACAAAAGAATGCATACCAAAAGTGACAGAGAGTGAAGGCAAAATTTTTGTAGAAAAAATATTTGAGGAACTTGCACATACGCAAGTAGGACCATCTGCCATGGACAAGGAGCAGACGTTCCAAATATCTAAATTGAGACAAGGCAAAGTCGCTGGCAAGAACTGCTTGCATACCTTCTTGGCCACTGATTCCGACACCAATGTGAGCCACTAAGAAAAAGAAAGAAAAACACTGAACATCAATCCACAGACACAAATAGAATTGCTAATGATTTTAAGATACTGAAGGACTGTTAATGGCTTTTAATATAGAAGTGTATTGAAAATGAAGAAAAAAGAGATTGTCAGTGTCATAAATATTGATAGAATATGTTTATTGAATGTATAATGTAAATGTACTACTAATGATTTTATTGTCCTTATAAACAGACCCACATGCACAAGAGTGTATTGGAACATTCTTGGTGTGGCCCATTTCCCCAAATCAGTATTTCCATGACCAAAGATCAAAAGACAGATTATGAGAAGTGAAGTAGGCTGAGAACTTTTAAGTATTTCTCCATGCATATATACATTCACATACTGTTTCCAAAATATGTACATAATTATTGTTTCAGAACTTTATAATGAAGTCATTTTTTTTTCTTTTAAGTAAAAACTGAACATAAAAATTCAAACAGAAAAAAAAAAACTAAAAATTATATTTGAGCAGGGAATTTTTACTGAACTGTTTCCAGAATGTAAATGCATGTGAAATTCAGAGGCAGGGAAAGCATGCCAGAAGTACCTCTTCTTGTCTGATCACCAAAGTGAAGCAGGATTAAACCTGGATGTACCCATCTTGAGGCAGTTGTTGGTGTAGAAATGAAACCAGCGTGCTGAGTTCAAATTCTATCAGAGTTCATTGTATTCTCTTTTTCAGAAATAACCTTGGAAAAGGTATAAATCCATCCTCTTTCCCCCAGTTATGGGTTAAATAGCAGGGTAAACTTAACTTTATAGCTTTGGTTGACAGTCTAGAAGGACAATTTGTTACACAGCAGCAACATCTAGCAAGGTGAGTCCATGGCCCTATACTCCACAGGGATGTCTAATAGTACTAAGGAGGAGGAGGAGAAAGGGGCCTAAATGAGTGACCATTTTGGAACATCAGGCACTCTCAGCATCTCATGGTCTTGTACTGTACTAAAGCATCTTAGTAAATATTAACAATGAAAGGACACAGATTAATATTGTCAGATGGACAGCTTATACCACACAAAATCCCACAACCATTGATAATCAATAAATAAATAAATAAGAAACAAAATGAGGTACTAGGAAAAAAAAAATTGTTTTTGTTACTCACTCTTAATCATGCTGACGTCATTGGCACCATCCCCAATTGCAAGAGTAACAGATTTTTTATTCTTCTTCACAAGATCAACTACCAATGCTTTCTGCAGGGGGGTAACACGGCAGCAGATAACAGCCTTACAGAGGCATCCGAGATCTAAAAGTAATAGTTCCATGTCCTTCTTTAGAGCATGAATCTAAGAAGAATGGAAAAAAAATAGAATTATTGATTGCACCAGAAAAACTAAATTGCATATTAAACGGTATTTCAGTCATCTGAAAATAAGCATTTAAAAAATATAATTTTTTTTTTTTATTCCTGAGAAAACCTAATGGAACAAAGAATAGCAACTGTACCAAGAAATACTGCATTAATTTCAAAGGAAAGCAAATTGACATCCAAGATGGACAGCATTCCTGCTGGAGAATAAGTCAAGAGAAGCGGATCAATGAATTTCTCAAAGTTATTAGTGTGTGAAGTGAACATCAACTGTCCTAGCTAGAATGTGAATTCACTTTCTATGTTGTTAATTATAAAGCCATTCATAACCTACATTATCCATATTATTATTATTTTATCAGGTTTTCTTAATCTTATTAATAGTTCCTTATAACACTTTAGCTCAAACATTTTCTATCTGTACAGGTATCATGAAGGAAAATTTTTAAAAATGTAGCTTCTGATTAAATTTAACTTGTCTCTCATATCTGGGAAGATCATCTTTCAAGGATCAATGCATAAGTAATTTAGCTACAGAAGCTTATAGCTCAATAGGGTAAAAATCTTATATTTCCACACCTCCTAATCCAAATATTCATACTATATTGAATTTTAATGTTAGAAAGTATGAATATGTTAAGACTTAGGCCACATCTAGCCATATGTTTATGTGACATTGTTCATGCAATATAAGTTTCTTGGATATGGAATTTAAGTTCAGATCTTGTGAGAAACTGCTTCTTTATCCCATGTTATTTGCTTTAATGGATGTAGATTAGGACAATATCATATTTTTTCTTAATCAGAATCACCCCAAGCAAGGCAGTACCGCCACTAAGGGAGTAACAGGGTGTGGAAGAATTAGGAACAGAGACATTAATGATGAGCAGAAAGAGAAGAGAGTAATCAGGTGGATAGTAGATTGCAATTGACATTGCATTTAAATTTTTGTAGATTAAAGTTGGCTGGAAAGCATGGAGCTGGAAGAGAGTTCCAGAAGTGAGAAGTGTGGTTTGGTTTGGTTTGTTTTAAGGCCTATCAGCCTCAATGGGTTATTTAATGCCAACAACTTTTTTTCCTGGTAATATTTTGTTTTGTCAAAAATCTATTTCTGGTAATATTTTTTTTCCTTAAAAACGTATAGCTGGTAATATTTTTTTTTTCAAAAATATATTACTGGTAATAATTTTTGAATTTATTGCTGGTAATAAAACCTATTTTTACACTTTCATAAGGCTTTTTACCTCAGTTTCGGGGCTAACTATTTGCCCACAGCTGGGACCCTAACAGGTGCTACCACCACAGGTCAGTGGGGACTTGGGAACACCAGCAATTAAGAGGTGGTTCCATGCTCCTCAAAACCTCCTGAACAGACTGTTGGACATAGTTTATCATCTTACCCTAGTCGCAGATGTAGTTTATCGTCATACCCAGGACAGAGTGAGAAGTGTGAGAGAAGAAACTGTTGGCATAGAATTCTCCACTACATCTAACCAGCATAACTGTAAATTGATGAGATAATGATAGTCTAGTGCTACACATAAATTCAAAAAGCTATAGGTACCATATAGGCATAGCAAAGAGCTCATTTGTACAATTACCATGAAAGTATTTATAGAAAAAACAGAGTGGCAACCTTACAGCTGTGGGAAAGTGACTGGAGCTGAGCCACCAGATCAGGACCAATAATATTGCAGATTCTTTGGATCTTATCAAAGTGCTCAAGATAAATAGCAAGGGCACTGGATAATATATGGCAGTATTATTCTAAGCATGCATCAAGTTTTGAACAAATGGTTGTCTATTCAATGTGAAAGAATTTCTGACCAACACAAAAGCTATAAGACAAATGTTCAGAGAGATTCTATTTAATGATAATGCAGTTCCACATTCCATGCTGACTACAGTACATAACTAGTTTTGCAAAAGTCAGAAGTCTTTGGATTTGAAATCAGACTAAAGACTGTGATACTTTATAATAGAGTATCACTTATTCCTTGTCTCCATCATAAAACTGAAAAAAAAAAAAAAAATATCGAAGAGTTTACCTATTTGGTATCTGTTATTGTTATGTAGAAAAACTGATTAACCTACTCTACACTTATTATTGAAACATGGACTTGTCCACTCACTATGAGTAGAACGTCTGCTCATGGAACATTGGCAAAAAGTTGGTTGCAAAAGTATAGTACTTTTCAGTTGTACGCTTGTCATACTAAACTACTGCATTCTCAATACATGTTCTCACTGGATTAAACCCTTCTTCAATCAACTTTTGTTTCCAGTGTTTTCTTTACAGTTTTACTAACCAGCAACTATGAGTATTATACAAAACTTTATAATAGTCATTTATTCTGAAAACAAATAGGCAGACAAACAACAAACTGACCAAAGTAAAAGTCTTTGGTAGACTGATAAAATATGTTTGGGGACATAAGAGCCTTAGGAAAAAAAAAACAAAAGTTAACAAAATTGTCATGTTGACCTTGTAAGCATTTTTAGTCTATTCATTAACCTTTACCACGCTAATTTCTTTCTAGAATTGTTCCCCTGCTGCCACTGCATTTTTTTTTGAGGGTGCAAAAATATGAACACCTAGTGTGATTATCATCTTCAACTACTTCACCATCGTTACCCACTTGAGAATAGCCTTCAAAATCATCATCAGAGTGTTAATCAAAGAAAAACTCCTGAATAAAGGCTTTGTTCGATATTGATGCAGCCATTTTTGTTTACAAAAAATTGCAAAAAAGTTAACGTGGATTTAAGCAATGTTACACCTTGTGTAGAGTCTAGAAGAATTCAAAATGGTGTTGGAATAAAGGAAGTTTAACCTACTTCCAAAAGAGTAAAAGTCAATTTCCTGTTTAAAATACCAGAAATAACAGTTAACAAGTGTTTATTTATAGCAATCGTCTCAAGGTGACAGAATGCGCCTAGAGCAGCAAAGGAGAGAATTCTACAGCAACAATTTTTAACTGCAAATGTGGTAAAGGTTAAAGCAACTGTTACACAAGATTAGAAAAGAGAGTCATAGAAGCCTTATCCACAGATGAGCAATAAAAGTGAATTATCACTTTAGTTCTTTATTTATAAAGCCAATAAAAATAGATAAATGATGGCTTTAAAAATGAATATGCTAAAAAATATGTAATTCATATTGCAAAATATATTAGTTAGATGCTTTGACACATATCATTAGTGATGTTTTTAGCCGAGGGTCATTAGCAGTTTTAGTCCTTTCAAGTGTGGTAAAACAAAAACTGATAATGAAAACAAGAAAAAAAAAGAAAATTTAACTGGCTATCACTCCTTGCTCTTCGGATCTTAACTGAGGACAATCCATATGTACAGTCAGTTATGTGTCATTCATAGACGATCATGCATCTTTTGATACATGACTGACGAGGCAGATTTTTTCCTGCAGTAGGTTGCCATTTCTTCCTGTTGTAGACCAGTTGCCATCTAAGGCTATAGAACCTGATCAGTTCTGCTGGGGGAAGAAGGAGAGGATTCATACCTTTCCCTAGGGTATTAGCACATAAGTGAATGTAATGGATTCAACTGGAATTGGAACTCGGCTCTCCAATTCCTTAATCCAAGCCACTATCCATTACTCCACCATACACAATAACTAAAATAAATATATTTTTAGTCATTGTGCATATATTTATATGTTTGTCCTTATATGTATATATTTTATGTTAAAGCCATAATAAAATTTTGTACACCCCCACCTCATAAATTATTTAAAATATATATGCATTTAATTCGACTGTCTTAGAGTATTGGTAAAAGAAACATTCTAAAAGCAAAAGCTATTCTGTTTTATTTTTGCCCATCCCTGTATCAAAATTTACCTAAGTTAACAAATATTTAAAATGCAATATTTAAGGGACACTAAACATCTGTATACATTAGTAAATGCCAGTTAATGTTCATATACAACCAGAGATATCTTCCTTACTACCCCCAAAAAAAGAATAGCTGCCATATTTATTTACTTACCAGACTGTGGCCATTTATAACCAGAGCAAACTGAGATGTTTGCTCTTTGTCAAAATTTGACTTGTCCATCTCACCCTCCTCCTCTGAAGACATCATACCATTGCCAAAACGAACATCATTTTGGTAACGGCCCTCTAATATTTCTTTTAACTGTTGCAATGACCTCTTCAGTTGGTCATGTACCTCTTCATATTCCTCACCATCAACAATAAAAATCTCTTCCATCTCATCAGTCAGTAGTTTGCACGAGTAACCAATATTAATGGCAGTCTCTGAAAGAAAAAGAAATTATTCAGATGCAATAAGGCTTTTAGAGTCAAGTGTAAAGTTTGTTGTTTTAATGCTTTTCATTCTAAAGTAAAATAGAATCTAAGAACAACAACAGACACCCTCCCTAAAATATTTGACAAAGTTCAGAAAGATCAACTTTTATTTCAATAACTATTATTTTCTTATAAAAACAGGTCATTGTGCTTTAATCAAAGTTATACATGCATTGGGTTGAAAAGACAAACCTGATAGGATTCCATATCACCGAGAAAAAAGATAATACCTAACATAAAATTAATGAGCAAATACAATCCAGATTTTGATCAGATGAGTGTAACAAATAGCCAAATAACAGCACACTCTTGTATTCTTTTTATTCAAATGATGTGTATGTTTTGACATCTATATTTTAGTTGACAAAAAAATTACAGTAGTTATCTGAGTAGATTCAGAACTTTGTATAGATACATTCAGCCATTTTAAGAATTATTCTTTTTTAAGGAAAAAAAGATAAGAAAAAAGCTAAAGGAAAAAAAGGTCAAAAAAAAAAAAAAAAAAAAAAAAAAAAAAAAAAAAAAGAAAGAAAGTCCACAGAAAACAATACCTTTATGACTTCATAGACAGACCATCACCATCACTTTTTAAACCATAACCCTAAATATTTACTATTACTAAAAGATAGCTGTGGGAAATTCTAGGAAAATTCTGTGGACAATTAAAAAAAGCAATTATATCTGAAATCAAAACTGGAATTACTTAAGCAGACTCATAAAAAACAGAGAAAACTTTTTGAAAAATTTTCTTTAGACTGTTATTCTTGAGACCTTTCTTAAACTATGCCACTTGCCAGAAACAAAAATTAGTTATCAATTAAGAAGGGGGGTCCTGTTTATAATAGTGATACAGTGTAAAATCAATCACTGACTTCATAATCTGTTAAGCACCAATAGAATTTTGGTGAATATTTTTACAATGAGAACAAACACTTATTTCTGTTATTGGTAGCTAAGTCTCATAATTTCACTGTTGACACTGCTAGTTAAAACTGTAAGTGTTCTATGTTAATAGTTTCTTCTCTCACATTTCTTGTCTACTTCTGCTTTTTTGGTTTCCTATCAACTATGATCTTCAAAAATGTAAATGCAATGTCAATCATCATCTTCTGTCTCTTTGAATCATGTTCTTTTATTGTTCTTTCTGTTTCTTTTACTCTCAGTAAACTCTTACATTTTAATGGCTTTATTGCTTTCCTTAGGGTAAAAGGATAAAAAAATACTGAAAGTGAATACACTTCAAACTAATCTGAATAAATAATAAAGAGTAGAAGAAAATTCCTAACATTTAATTTTGTGCAATAAGTAGGAACCCACAACTGTGGCCTTGTGCCAGACTAATGTAAGCTTGAAAATGAGAGAAATCTACAAATATTATTTTCTTCTACTGCTAGAATTGAAAATATGAAAAATCAGTTTTTGTTTCTTTAAAAAGAAGTTTTACAATCTTGGACAAAGTTTTACAGGAATTGATTATACTAACCTTGTTTGTCACCAGTTAGCACCCAAATTTTTATTCCAGATAAGGCAAGGTTTGCTATTGTTTCTGGTACTCCATCTTGGAGTTTATCTTCTATTGCAGTAGAGCCAAGTAAAATCATGTTCTTCTCAATTTCTTCAAACAACACATTCACTTTTTCATCACGGTTTTCCATGGACGTGCTACAGTCAAAAGTAAAAATCAAATCAAATAATTAGAAAAACTGCTGCAGTCTGTAAAAGGCAAAATCTGAATTCCTGTAAATAAATGGTTAGCTTCACAGTCTACAAAATAAAAACATATGTAAGATCTATTTGCTCCATCCTGATAATGTGGACATTTATAAACATTTGCATAATAGTTTTCCAGGTTTTTTTTTTTTTTTTTTTTTTTTTTTTTTTTTAATCATATCACTCAAGTAAATAAGGGGTTACTGAGTGTTAAAGAATAAGAAAATGAGGAACATTATTAAGGAGTGAGAACGATTGACATTGCATTTAAATTTTTGAAGATCAAAATTGTCTGGAAAGCAAGAATCCAGAAGAGAATTCCACAAGAAGTGCAAGAGAAGAAACTGTTAGCATGGAACTTACAGTTAAATCTAGCCAATTCAAATATAAAATGATGAGACCTTGCTGCCACACTAATAATGCACTTAAATTCACAAAGTCTAGGCACCATAGAGGAAAGTTCATTGGAACAGTTACCATGAAAGTTTTTGCTGGAGGTATGTGTGTATGAAAAGTGATGCACTTGAAGTGGGAAATAGAGATTGAGAAAGCAGGTAACCATCTTGGTACAGATCATAATCTAGATGAATATGTTAGAGGTTAAGTCACCAAAAGTATACATCAAGGTCCAAAATATTCACAATGAAGAAAAAGGTGAAATTGTTGATAACAATGTCAGGTGTGAAGATATTGAAAGTTGTCTTGTTGAAGAAGGTGGTGTCGATTGATATCTAACTTGAAGATTATGTTGCTGATAGTAACCTCAGTGATAATGTGAAACAGTCTATTATTACTGTAGTGACACTGGCAAATTAACATGCCTAATTTGCATAAGTGCAAGAGAAAGTCGATATAACTTGTCACTGAGAATAACATGGGACGAAGACAAGATTAGCAACTGACTAGTGCTAAACTTCGACTTCACATCTATGGCGTCACTGATAGGATCCCATTTGTCTCTAGAAGATTCAGATTTTGTGGATGCATGGATTCGCTGTTTTTCTGCCAGTGCAAGAATTAAAAAGCTGAAAGCGTATATTACTGGGTGGGACTCTTATTAATTCTAGTAGACTCTTTTTCAGGCTGGCCTGAAATAATCCGGGTGCCAGACAAGAAAAGTTCTACGATAAAACAGATTCTAAGGGTCATATTTTCCAGAAACGGCATACCAAAAACTCTGGTATCTGACAACGCACCAGAATTTTGTGATGACCTTAATTTATGGTTAGAAAAAATAGGATGTAAACCATATAAGACACGCCCATATCACCCTCAGTCGAACGGGTTAGCGGAAAGAATGGTGCAGACCGTAAAAACAGGACTAAAAGCATGCTCTCAGCAAAAAGAAAAAGTAGAAGTTTTTCTACTGAGGCTGCTTTTAAGCTATCACACAATACCACACGCTGGAAGACTAGAAAGCCCATCAGCTTTAATGGGATGACAAATTAGAGCTCTGCTAACGATGTCGTATTCCACAAATGAAAAAATATGGTACAAAAAGAACAAAGAAGCAAATCCGGAAAGGGCAGAATTTATCATGCAAAAAGGCCACAATACAGCTATAATAAATAGAGAAAACGGCAACAGTGTATTAGCCCATGCAGATCAAATAAGGACCCAGGGTGAATATGAAGAGCAAAATGATTAAGAAATGTCTACAATTCCATCCGTTAAAGATTTTGTTAGAACAACCGTTACAAAATGAAACATCAGAAGACAAAATAATGCAGGATCAAGTGAGCCAGAATGAATTTGAAAGTTCGGACGAAGATCAAATAATGCAAGATGCCGCCTATGATTACAGCTTAGCACGGGACAGATCTAGGTCTCCCAGAAAAAGAAATACTGGAGAGAGAGAAGTAGAGCAAAGTAATGAAACTATCACGAGAAGAAGTACAAGAACTACTAGAGGTATAAAACCTATATGTTTCAGGGAGATGTAGTGACACTGGCAAATTGACATGCCTAATTTGCATAAGTGCAAGAGAAAGCCTATATAACTCGTCACTGAGAATAACGTGGGCTGAAGACAAACTTAGCGACTGACTAGTGCTAAACTTCAACTTCACATCCGTTACCCATTAGTTAATGTGCCCAAGGCACATCAAGAAGCCATCAAGCCTGTTAATTAGAGCTATTGGCAAGAAGTCATGCAGGATGAAATGAACTAAACAAGAATAATAAACCTGAACTAGTCCCCTTACCAAGAGGTTGGTTGGTTAGTAGATTTTGTTTAGTGGTATATCAACCTCTATGGGTTATTGATTACCTAAATGTAAACATTTTCTAAGCAATTTCAAGGCTTCAACTACAGATATTTCGTATATTATTTTATACTTTCAGGGTAAACGTATGTGTTTTCAGATATTTGTAGAGTTTGTAAATAAAATATATTGTTGGTAATTTTTTAAAAAAGTATATTACTGGCAATTTTACTACAAAAATGAATTTTAATATGTTTTAGTGTTGTATTGATTCTCATTTTGCTATAAAAATATATTGTTGATAATTCTACTATAAAATGAATTGTTGGTACTTAATAATTTTTTTTAATAAAAATGTATTGTTGGTAATTTCACTACAAAAATGCTGGTATTTTTACTATAAAAAAGACATTTTGATTTTGTTTGGGGGTTCACTATTTGCCTTTAGCTGGGATCCTAACAGGTCCTACACTGCAGGTCAGAGTGGACCTGGAAACAAGGGCAATTAAGAGGTGGTTTCATGTTCCTCAAAACTACCACTCACCTGATTAGAGGCCTTGCTGCCAGATGTAGTTTATTGTCATACCCAGGACTTATTACAAAAAGAGGTAGAAGACTAGTAAAATGCATTATTTAAGGAGTACAGAAAATTTGCTTTGTTCCCTGCTATACAATTCATATGTGAAAGCAAGTTAATTAAAATGACCCAGCTTAGATATATATTGAAAAGTTGATAACTAAATTTCCACATATAAAATCCTAACTCCATATTTACTTCTTGCAAAACAAAGATAGATAAGATCGATGAAGATAGCACAGAAAAGATTGAAGTTAAATTGTACAGAGAAATATTTCAAAGTTTATTCTACATTATGATACCTACTCAACCAAATCAGTTTTATACTGTAACAAACTTATCACAGTAACTGGCAAAGCCTATAGTAGCCCATTTTTAAACATATGAGGATGCACGGTGGAGTAATGGATAGTGGCTCAGATTGAGGAATCAAAGAACTGAGTTAAAATTTCAATCAGGTTCATTACATTCACTTACGTGCTAATACACTTGGCAAAAGTATGAATCCATCTCTTCTCCCTTGTGCTATGGGTAAATAGTAGGACAGACTATAACCTCAGGTGGCAACCAGTCTAGGAGAAGGAAAACTTTGAATTCAAAATCTGAGGGCCTAGAGTACAGACTATGGTTGTTGATCAAGAGCTTGGAGAAGAACTGGGTGCTGCCAAGCTATCTGAAAGCCCCCCCACTGAAAGGATCACAAGGAAGAAGAATTAGAGTCTGTTTTTTCTGCCCTCAAGTCTAAAATGATTGAAGTAGTACTGGGTCAGATGATGATGAAAACATACAAAGGATCAAAAAATTGGTTTCTGGAATGCAATTTGGGGTAATCCAAAAGATTACCATAGTATTACTGGTTATGATCTGAATGGTCTAAAGGAAAAGCGGAAAGCAGTAAAGTGTTGCACTCACTAGACGCTTTAACAGCAATAGCACAAAAATAAACTTAGTTCTGTTAATAAAAAGTGTGACAAATTTGTTTAGCTGTACCACAATGCATTATGACAATCAGAGTGATTTAGCAATTATAAAAAATCTTGTAAAACATCAAAGATCAGAATATATCATTCATTTCATCTGTTGCATAATCCATGACATGGAACCATGTACAACTCTGACTTAGGGATTTGTTTTCAGTTAAGTACTCAAAACAGAGATCTTCCTTAAGACATCACTATCAGTTTTGGATTCAGAGTTGTCCTTCTACTAGACTGGTTGCCAGCTATGGCTAGTGGGCTCAGTCTTCTCTTCTATTTAACCCATAGCTTGGGGAAGAAGAGATATATTCATATTTAGAGCTATTATATCATGTACATTACATGTATTGACTAGTTACCCTCATAACACCTTGTGCTAGCAAAGGGGGATATAAATGTCAATATCACTGAAAGGACCAATGCAAATCACCTGAAGAATGCATGCATGATACACAGGAAACTGATAATTATGGTCAGTCACACCTATTCTGGAGATATATTTCAATATGGCTTCATTATATATATATATATATATATATATATATATGATGAAGCCATATTGAAATAATGAGCTTGTTGTACTGAAAGAAATGTAGGTAGGTGTTGTAATTGAAAACACTGTAGCTGTTACAGCCTTTAATATTGGAGTTTCATTTCTTTTGCTGTCATGTCTAATAAAATGCCTCAAATTCTAGCATGCAAATCACTGACTTTTTTACATGAATGTGGTAACTGAAAAGGAAGAAATTTTCTGTATTTACACCTGGGGCAATTATGACATGTCATCTTCCAATTTATGAAGAGAAAATAATGCATTACACTAGAACAAAATTTACTCATCTCCAGAAAATGTTACAATTACAAGAACAGGTAATAACAGGTAGTGGGAGTAAAATAACTAGGGTTTTGAACAAAGTTTCAATTTTGAAAATTAAAAAAAAAAAGGAACCATTATAAAAAAAAACAAAAAAAGATTACAAAAACAAAAGCTATAAAAAAAAAAAATGAACATAATAAAAAGACTATAAAAAGCCAAAAAAAAAAATGACTATAAAAAATATAAACATAAGAACTAAAATTACTGAAAAAAATGAAAAGAATCAATAGATTAATATAAGTAAAGAAAAAAAAACAAAAAGATTAAAAAAATATGAAAGACCATAAACAAATTTCTATTTTAAAAAAATAGAAAGACAAAAATGTAAAACAATGGACTAAATGAAAAAAAACCCAAAAATGCAAGATAAAAACATGATGAAAAGCAGGAAAACAAAAATGAGATATAAATAAACATAGCAACAACAAAGATGGGGACAATAATCAACATGTAAATAGTGTAAAAAAATGATAACACCTCATCCCAGAAATTCAATAATATTAAATAAAGAGGCATTAAAATACAAAAAACTAAAAAAGAAACAAAATATTATAAAAAAAGGGCTATAAATATGAAAAAAGGGACAATAAAATAAAAGATGTTAAAAAATGGTAATAAAAAATACATAATAAAAAAGAATATGAAGGTGTATATAAAAACAGTAAAAAAGACATTTACGTGGCTTCATGATATCGTTTCTTCCATTCATGATAATATTCTGGATCAATTTCTTTACTAGCAAGGCACAAAGTGCGCAGACCTTCCTGAGCAAATTCCTAGGATGGGAAGAAAAAAAACCAACATTAAAAAAATTTAAAAACTTTAGAAGAGAATTAATTTTCTAATTGACAAAAAACACAATTCTGTTTATCAATGAAGCCAAAAAAAAATTTAAAAAAAAAAAAAAATAAATCAACATTTATGATATCAATACGGCAACAATAATTTTATACACATTGATAAGCAATTAAAAAAATATCCAAAGACAAAGGTAAAATCATTTGGACTTGTTCAATCCAACACAAAAGATGAGGGTGGTTTCTTCAAAGCATAATATAGTCACTAGTAGATTTAAGTGATTTTAAATGTTACAAAGGTCCACACTAAGTTTCTCAGCATTCATGCCAGGATCCAACAGTAAATTGTGGTGCAGGAGTGCTGATCATCACTGCAAGGACTGCCTTTCTTGCACCTTACTGTACATAAAAAGGGTCTTACCATGACAAACTGGCCCATAACATGTTGGTAAGGACTTTAAATTCAGCTTTTTTTCCTATCAAAGCTAGAAAATCATGTCTTTATGATTTTACTCAGGACAGAGAAGAGAGGTATTCTTGCCTTTTTTATGGTCATTTGTGCAAAGTGAATACAACGGAAAAGGTATGAATCCTCTTCTTGGGAAAGGTATGAATCCTCTTCTCCCCCTAGCTATGGGTAAATAGCAGGACAGACCGGGTTCTAGAGCCTTGGATGGCAACTGGTCTACCACAGAAAGAAATGGCAACCTACCACAGGAAAAAATATGCCTTGTCAGTCATGTATTGAAAGATACATGATCACCTACGCATGTATCACACATGACATATAACTGAATGCAACAGCCTTGGCTGGAATTTGAGTTCAGCTTGCTGATTTCCATCTTCAAAAAGGATCAAAACCATTCAGATAACAGTGTGGAATCATGCATGGATTCCATCTATTTTTGCGCATGTGTGCGTATTGCACCCCTTCCTTTCACAATCGGCTAGACATAGTAGTAAACCAGCCTGTTTGTTGCCGACGTGATGTTTGCTAGCTGCTCCTGTTTCCAGCTAGAACGGAATTTGAAGTTTTCCCGCGCATTCTCTGACGTCACTGACAAACTTTGTTTTCAAGTCAGTTGCGGCCTGGTTGTCAAGTAAGAAGGTCGACTCATTTATTCCATGCCCCTAACCCATACGCGGGCCGGAATATCTTAACTAACCAAAACTTCAACATGTCGTGTGATTATAACTTTTCCAAGACTAATTTCCTCATCTTGATGCGAACAACTTATTCGAACTTTCCTCCGTTTTCTGCTAGAAAACGTAGAGACTACGACACTGTCGTCATCACACTTTTCCAAGACTAATTTCTTGTCTTGATGCGAACAATTTGTTTGAACTTTCCTCCGTTCACTATGAGAGCTTACAACACTGTCGTCATCACACTTTTGCAATAACTAAATTCCTCGTCTTGATGAGAACAACTTGTTCGAGCTTTCCTCCGTTCACTACCAGGGAACGTAGAGTTTTTCTTCACTGAAGATTGATGAACTTTTCTTACACCTCTTTTGAATTCTAACCTTTACGAACCAGTTAAAACAAAAAAGATAACATTACACACACACTATTAAACCTTGCAGTGAGTATTTTTCCTTGTTGTGTATGCTTACACCTTTTGTACAAGAAGACTATATTCCAGAACCTTCCTTCTGAAGAAACTTTTACCGCCTTAGCCATTTTGATTTTCGTTTTGGCGTGGAACATTAACATTCTACTTGTTACTACAATTATACAATTTGCCTACTGGCTAAGAACAGCCTTTACTTTCCTGATAGTCTCCACTGTTGAGACAAAAATATTTGTTATTAAAATAAAGTCTTATATATGCTTTTCCACCAGACTCGTTTTCGTCGTTTCCTCCTGGCTATCTATATTTTACTATTTTTATGCACGTATTAAATGACCCTTTTTCCTCACTAAAGATCACACATTTATTTTTATACTTTGTTAGTGGATTCGGTAGTTGTAAGTAGTGTCTGGCACAAGGCCACCTTTTCATAGGCCAGCACTGCATGCTACCCGGTCTGCTACAACAGCATTACCAAAATCAGCTGAGGTGAGAGTTTAAATATTGAAGAGACTTGCTGTCACTTGAACTTTAGGGGTGGTGTTGAATCAATGGATACAACTGGTGTGAAAACTCAATGAACGCAACATGGATAGTTACAATAAAATGATTCTACTTGCCAACAGAAAAACTTATGCAAAGCTAGATAAACAGCAATCTTCTATATTATTCACATTTGACTAATAACAATGTCAAGAGAAAGTGAGGGTTTAGTATACATTTAATAGTTCAAGAGAAACTCAAAATGAAATAGGGGGTTAATAGCAAGATATTATTTTCTACTCACATTTAAATGATGTGCTGTTAATTCTTTGAGGTTGTCACTTTCAGGAGACAGTCGCTCAAACACTAATGTGTCTGCACCTTTACACAGTAATTGTATAACGTTGTCCTTTTGGACTATCACCTGCGAAATTAAAATGAAAATGATTGCAGAAAAACACACTTTAGAATACAGAAAATATCTATTATTTACATTAATTTAAATACATTTATCAATAATAAAAACGATAACTGATGAGTTGTTAAATAGACTCGAGAAAAACAAATTACAATATGAACACTGATGATATTTAAAAAATGTTGCTAGATTCATTTAATTTATTTTATGATGACAGGGTCAAAGGGAAGTAACCTTGATTATATCAGATCTTTGAATGCTTTTAATTCTCAGAATAACAGCTGATAGTCATGACTGCTTTGACAGTTAAGGTAGTTATAGGAAAGTGGTTTGTGCACACAAATCTACTCTATCAATCATTGTGACATGTCAGTGAAGAGACTTTTTGTCAGAATGAGAGAATATACAATTGGAAGACTGATTACCAAAAATAACTATAATTTCAGCATTAAATAATTAATGAAATATACATTAATATTTTAAAGTAGTTATAAAACAGATCTTGATAAAAAGTAAGGCAAAAATCCAAGATGCTATTTATAAGTCAGTCTTATATTATCAATATATTTTCATACATTTATACAATGCTGCTATAACTACTAACTAATTAAGCAACGGGAACAAAAATAGTCATGGAAAAAATAAGAGATTATATAGCTCCATCATAAACTTGATAGTCATGCTAGTATAACTACATGACATAGTAATTTCATGTGGTATTTAATATAAATTTGAATCTCTTCATTGTTTAGAATTTGATTGTCATACATATAAATTCAGTTGATACTTCCCTGCCCCAGGGCTCTGTCCCTGTGCTGGTGGTATCATGGTTACGACTAGCTTGGACTGGCTATAACCAGCTAAGACCAGCTGCCCGAGTGAAAACACTTGGGTCCCCACATTAAAAACTGACCTTGTGTCACAACATGACTCAGTTGGTCAAGCAAATATCCATATAAATTCAGTTATTTTAAATTAATTTAAAATTTCTAATTGCTATAATTTTATAAATTTATGCCAGTCGTTTGCACTGACGTGACATAATGAAAAATATCTGCATTTTAGATCAATCATATTTGAAGGAAATTCTATTAAGCTAAATTTCAAGGGAGGTAAATGATTTTGAAAAGAAAATGTGCCTCTAACTAGTTATATAACTGATTTTCTACAGAATACCTATAATGAAGGGAAATCTTGGCTACAAAAGATTGGAAAGTTTTCAAATTAGTAAATTTCTTAGAAGAGAAAAAAAATATACTGTAATGTCAAAATATTCAAAAGAAATAATAGGAGTTAATTTCTTAAAGAGAAAACAACAGTGTTAACCAGGGAACATAATTAGTGACATCTGATCAAAAAAAGCAATTTAAGGATTAAACATAAAAATAAAACCTAAAAAATTAAAATTGAAACTATTTACTTACAGACATACGTTTCCTGACATTATTGAAATCTAAAATACACAACAGTTCATAAGTCTCTTCAGTGCCATTTACCTCAATGGTAATAGTGTTTGGAGTCCGAGACTAAAATAAATAAAACAAAAAAAAAATTATATTTCAATTAACTTGATTCTGCTTAAAATTTGAAGTTACAATTTTTCTTATAAAATTTTGAAAATTTGTATTATTGCAATCAAATATATTTCTAAGGATAAAATGCATTGAAATTTGTGAATATCTTTATTTTTTATAGAATTTTGCCTTTTATATCTGATGATGAAAAACTATATTTTTCTATTTATAGAAGAAAACCGGTTTCAGAAGATTAAAGAATTTGCCACTAAAAAAAAAAAAAACCCCAAAAACTTTCAAATCAGACAAAAAAAGAAAAAAAAGTATTCTATTAGCCTCTCTGTTGATTTCTTTTATGGAAGGCCCTAATGACCAAAAACATACAACTGAGAAAAACTGAAACAGTTAAAAAAACAATAAAACAAAGATAATAGCTTGAAAAATGTATTCAATCTATATATAAAATTCTGTGACAGCCGATAGTCCATCCATCACACCTTCTTAAATAGCCATACATTGACCGAAGAAAACCAAATTTTTGGGAGAATGAATGCAACATACATAAGAGGTACAAAGCACAGTTGATTTTACTGTGGTGCATAGCTTAGTACAATAAATTTCCATTAATTTTTTTGTGGAAAAAAATATTCTAGTACTGAAAAAGGCTCACCATACGAGTTCAAACAAAATTTAATGCAAGGTTTGTGTAAAGTAGAACTTTAAAAAAATAATTTTTTCTTCAGATAGTAAATTAGTGCGAGAAGCAAAGGTTTGTACTTTCAAAATAAATACAAAAACAGTTATATGTTGGGTTTTAATAATGAAAATACTTCATCAGAGAGATAACAATCATGACTATGAATTAGTAAACATGATAATGTGAATAATTGGAGGAGGATGTGACTAATGATTGTAGACTGAATACCATTTAGTTGGGTGGTCATTGTTGCCAAATTAGTAATGCTGATGTCTTTGTCAGACTGGTTCTGGTTGGAGAGCAGCAATAAAATTTAATAACCTGCATATTATGATAAAAAGAATCAAGAGAAAAACTAGATGAAAATAAATCATTTTCATCTGCATTTTGAGATGAGGAATTATTATTATTATTATTATACAAGATTTATTGATGTTCTCATCTTTATTCTTAAATTCTCTGGTCATCTTTGGGAGACTGCTATGTTTGGTAACCAGAGACTTAAGAATTGGTTAAGTGTATGCACTTATCTGATGGTTGTGAGTTAGGCAGTGAAATTCATTAATCTGGTTCATTAGAATGAATAGGAGAAATACAAAAAATTTAATTAAAAAAAAGAAACTGGTCTTCAACTGTATATTCAGCCACCAATTTTCAATATGAGATATAGTCAAATATTGGACATTAATCATGAAAAAAATTTACCACCATGGATTATGTAAAGACTTTAGTTTGAAGTTTTCAGAAAAATACCTGTGGTAATTTTGTTTATTACTTGTTATACAACTGATGTTGAGACAATTACACCCCACTCCACCCCAAAAAAGAAAAAAACACGTCTTGACTATATTCAAAACTACTTTCATTATATAGTAATTTAAATGCAAGTGTGATGCTGATTATACAGGCATGATGACCCAACTTCTAAAGAGAATTAATTAACATGTCCTATTAATTATTAGAAAGGGTCAACTACATTTGCATAATCTTCAGGATCTGCTATTGCAGAACATGTTACAAAAAAATCAAGCACCCTTCAATATGAACAGGTTTTTGTTCCTGTGCAGATTGCATTCTAGTTATAAACTGAAAGTCCTGAAAACAATTTTTATTAAAATAAAACCATCCTTTCATAAACACATGCAGTTTGTGTGGACTAAATGGGATCTGTTTTATTTTTATACTAATGTTCACCTAATACAAGGCCCAATAGCCACTCAAGACAGAGGGTTACTGTGTACTGATGTATGAGCATAAGAAATAGTAAGAAGTGAAGTTCATGAAGTTATATTGGAAAGATAATGCTTAACACCTAATCAATACTTGGGAATACCTGGTGCTGTAAGCTTGGATGTGCAGGTGGTGTAATGGATAATGGCTTGGAATTGTTAATCGAACGGCCAAGTTCTAATTCCCATTGGGTTTGTTATATTCACTTTTGTGCAAATACCCTTAGGAAAGGTATGAATACACCTCTTCTCCCCCAACATGTGGGTTAATTAGTAAAACTTGTATCACTAAACCATTATTATCAAAAAAAAAATTCTTACAATCTGAAAATATTTTCTGACTTTAAATAACCTGCAAAAGGTTGATAATCTGTAAAAAATGAATGAATCAATCAATCAACTGTTGCTATGTACATTGCTGTGTCCTTTATTGACTAAAAACTTACAACAATGTCAAATGTAACAGGTACAATGACTATAATGAAACTATAATATGCAAGATAATGATACCTATATGTCCTTTCTGGACTTGGGGGATCATGACTCTCCACAACTTACTATCCTTTTATCACCATTCCTCCTAGTTCATGTTCTGCCATCCATTTATACAAGCTCAAAGATGAAATATTATTATTCCAGGTATTGTTATTTGTTTTTAGATTCAAAAAAATATCTGAATTAGTGAAGAACTTCATTTGGGGATGTGACAAGATTAGAATAGCACTCAAGTTTTAAATGCAAAATAATATAAAGAAAGCCAGTGAAAACATTACTGAAAATTGTGATAAAATTAAGGATAAATAGTCAAAATTTGTAGATTAATGACAATACTTCCTCTTAGAACACCCCAAAATATTGTAATCAGAAAAACAAATATTAAGATTCCTTTCTTCCTAAGATGCCATGCATGGGCAATCAGTTATCTTTTTGATTCTCCTTCCATCTCAAGGTGCTATGCATGATGCACGCATTGGATGGTCATATCTCTTTTTGATTCTCCTTCCATCTCAAGGTGCTATGCCTGATGCACGCATTGGATGGTCATATCTCTTTTTGATTCTCCTTCCATCTCAAGGTGCTATGCCTGATGCACGCATTGGATGGTCATATCTCTTTTTGATTCTCCTTCCATCTCAAGGTGCTATGCCTGATGCACGCATTGGATGTTCATATCTCTTTTTGATTCTCCTTCCATCTCAGGTGCTATGCCTGATGCACGCATTGATGGTCATATCTCTTTTTGATTCTCCTTCCATCTCAAGGTGCTATGCCTGATGCACGCATTGGATGGTCATATCTCTTTTTGATTCTCCTTCCATCTCAAGGTGCTATGCATGAAGCACGCATTGGATGGTCATATCTCTTTGATTCTCCTTCCTTCTCAAGGTGCTATGCATGATGCATGCATTGGATGGTCATATCTCTTTTTGATTCTCCTTCCATCTCAAGGTGCTATGCATGAAGCACGCATTGGATGGTCATATCTCTTTGATTCTCCTTCCTTCTCAAGGTGCTATGCATGATGCATGCATTGGATGGTCATATCTCTTTTTGATTCTCCTTCCTTCTCAAGGTGCTATGCATGATGCACGCATTGGATGGTCATATCTCTTTGATTCTCCTTCCTTCTCAAGGTGCTATGCATGATGCATGCATTGGATGTTCATATCTCTTTTTGATTCTCCTTCCATCTCAAGGTGCTATGCATGAAGCACGCATTGGATGGTCATATCTCTTTGATTCTCCTTCCTTCTCAAGGTGCTATGCATGATGCATGCATTGGATGGTCATATCTCTTTTGATTCTCCTTCCATCTCAAGGTGCTTTATGCATGAAGCACGCATTGGATGGTCATATCTCTCTTTTGATTCTCCTTCCTTCTCAAGGTGCTATGCATGAAGCACGCATTGGATGGTCATATCTCTTTTGATTCTCCTTCCATCTCAAGGTGCTATGCATGAAGCACGCATTGGATGGTCATATCTCTTTGATTCTCCTTCCATCTCAAGTTGCTATGCATGATGCACGCATTTGATGGTCATATCTCTTTTTGATTCTCCTTCCATCTCAAGGTGCTATGCATGAAGCACGCATTGGATGGTCATATCTCTTTGATTCTCCTTCCTTCTCAAGGTGCTATGCATGATGCACGCATTGGATGGTCATATCTCTTTTTGATTCTCCTTCCATCTCAAGGTGCTATGCATGAAGCACGCATTGGATGGTCATATCTCTTTGATTCTCCTTCCATCTCAAGGTGCTATGCATGATGCATGCATTGGATGGTCATATCTCTTTTTGATTCTCCTTCCATCTCAAGGTGCTATGCATGATGCATGCATTGGATGGTCATATCTCTTTTGATTCTCCTTCCATCTCAAGGTGCTATGCATGATGCACGCATTGGATGGTCATATCTCTTTTGATTCTCCTTCCATCTCAAGGTGCTATGCATGAAGCACGCATTGGATGGTCATATCTCTTTGATTCTCCTTCCTTCTCAAGGTGCTATGCATGAAGCACGCATTGGATGGTCATATCTCTTTTGATTCTCCTTCCTTCTCAAGGTGCTATGCATGATGCATGCATTGGATGGTCATATCTCTTTTGATTCTCCTTCCATCTCAAGGTGCTATGCATGAAGCACGCATTGGATGGTCATATCTCTTTGATTCTCCTTCCTTCTCAAGGTGCTATGCATGATGCATGCATTGGATGTTCATATCTCTTTTTGATTCTCCTTCCATCTCAAGGTGCTATGCATGAAGCACGCATTGGATGGTCATATCTCTTTGATTCTCCTTCCTTCTCAAGGTGCTATGCATGATGCATGCATTGGATGGTCATATCTCTTTTGATTCTCCTTCCATCTCAGGTGCTATGCATGAAGCACGCATTGGATGGTCATATCTCTTTGATTCTCCTTCCTTCTCAAGGTGCTATGCATGATGCACGCATTGGATGGTCATATCTCTTTTGATTCTCCTTCCTTCTCAAGGTGCTATGCATGATGCATGCATTGGATGGTCATATCTCTTTTTGATTCTCCTTCCTTCTCAAGGTGCTATGCATGATGCATGCATTGATGGTCATATCTCTTTTTGATTCTCCTTCCATCTCTCATGAAAGGATGGTCATATCTCTTTGATTCTCCTTCCTTCTCAAGGTGCTATTGAAGGATGATGGTCATATCTCTTTTTGATTCTCCTTCCTTCTCAAGGTGCTATGCATGCATTGATGGTCATATCTCTTTTTGATTCTCCTTCCATCTCAAGGTGCTATGCCTGATGCACGCATTGGATGGTCATATCTCTTTTGATTCTCCTTCCATCTCAAGGTGCTATGCCTGATGCACGCATTGGATGGTCATATCTCTTTGATTCTCCTTCCATCTCAAGGTGCTATGCATGATGCATGCATTGGATGGTCATATCTCTTTTGATTCTCCTTCCATCTCTGCTATGCATGAAGCACGCATTGGATGGCTCTTTGATTCTCCTTCCATCTCAATGATGCCTGATTGGATGGTCATATCTCTTTTTGATTCTCCTTCCATCTCAAGGTGCTATGCATGAAGCACGCATTGGATGGTCATATCTCTTTGATTCTCCTTCCTTCTCAAGGTGCTATGCATGATGCATGCATTGGATGGTCATATCTCTTTTTGATTCTCCTTCCTTCTCAAGGTGCTATGCATGATGCATGCATTGGATGGTCATATCTCTTTTTGATTCTCCTTCCATCTCAAGGTTCTATGCATGATGCACGCATTGGATGGTCATATCTCTTTTTGATTCTCCTTCCTTCTCAAGGTGCTATGCATGATGCACGCATTGGATGGTCATATCTCTTTTGATTCTCCTTCCTTCTCAAGGTGCTATGCATGATGCATGCATTGGATGGTCATATCTCTTTTGATTCTCCTTCCATCTCAAGGTGCTATGCATGATGCACGCATTGGATGGTCATATCTCTTTTGATTCTCCTTCCATCTCAAGGTGCTATGCATGAAGCACGCATTGGATGGTCATATCTCTTTTGATTCTCCTTCCTTCTCAAGGTGCTATGCATGAAGCACGCATTGGATGGTCATATCTCTTTTGATTCTCCTTCCTTCTCAAGGTGCTATGCATGAAGCACGCATTGGATGGTCATATCTCTTTTTGATTCTCCTTCCTTCTCAAGGTGCTATGCATGAAGCACGCATTGGATGGTCATATCTCTTTTTGATTCTCCTTCCATCTCAAGGTGCTATGCATGAAGCACGCATTGGATGGTCATATCTCTTTTTGATTCTCCTTCCATCTCAAGGTGCTATGCATGATGCACGCATTGGATGGTCATATCTCTTTTTGATTCTCCTTCCTTCCCTAGATATCATGCCTGATGCACACTTAGGCAATCATATTTCTCTTCAATTCATGATTGAATTGGCAGAAGAATTACCACAGTATGCTGTCGTCACTTCTGCAATAAACTTGCTGCCAACCAGGTACCCAGTCTGTCCTACCATAGCTGAAGAAAGAGAAGATAAATTCATATCTTTTCTAAGGGTATTTGCATGTAAGTAAATATAACAAACCTGACTGCAATTTGAACTCATTTCTCCAATCTCTCAATCCGAGCCACTATCCATTACAACACCTGCACATCCAATATTAAAACACTGATATTAATAATGTATAGTAAAATAATTTAGTTAACCGTTTCTATTATTAAAACTTTTATAAACCCCTGTCTTTTAGTGGAAAATTAAACAACTTTGCAAACCATGCTTGACATAACTGAGCACATAATTCTCGGTGTTGTAGGCAAAAATAAATTACCATCTGCGTGCTAAAAAATCAGTTGCTAAAGTTGAGAGAAAAGATACCTTGAAAACAAATCCAAAATTTCGGGCAGCAGACACTAGGGCATTTTCATCAGGAGACTGAGCTTGGTATTCAAGAACTGTAAAAAGCAACAAAAAAGTAACTGTTGTTAACAATCTATCTTTGCTGTCTTATTCTAATCACATCAGTAAAAATAAGAAAAATTCCTTAATGTTTTACAGTTAAATAGAAACTACCAACACTCAGAATTAAAGATAAATAAACATCACAACATCGAATTTGATTAGTTTCTAAAACAATAATAATACAACTGTTACCTAAAATTCTTTGGATAAATGGATTTTATTGGTCTTCTTTATATTGTGGACATTACTCCTTGATATGCTAAGATGTCCAGGACTATGAAAGAATGGATATAAGCTTACTCTTTCTCTTTTCACTTTTTTCTTTCGAGGATGCAGTAGAAAACTTATTCATTCTTGCTTTGCTTGATTTTGTTTGTTTGATTTAACAGCGGATAAACATTTTTATGGGTCATTTAATGTCAAAATTTAATTTTTGGGAAGCTTTGTTATAGTTCTTGATCTTAGCTTTGAAATTGAAATGGCCTCAAATTCAAATAAAAAATGAATAGGGTTATCTTTTGAGAAAAAATTATGGCTCCCCTTACAAATGCATCAAGTTTAATCCATCTTCAGGAGTTAGATACAGAAAAAGCCATCATTTTTCTTTTACATTATTTGGCAGAGTGAAAAGAATTAATGTTTTTAGTGATTTCTTTTCAGATATCAGGGCTGCCACATTGTCCTAGAGGTAGTGAATTTAGATAAATTTAAAAATTCAGTTCCACTAAATTCTGAATAAACTTTCTTTTCATTAATAAACAGATTAGACCAACATATTTTAAAACTATTCCAAACCTGCCAAACAATACAAATATAAAAGAAATAAAAAGACAGCAAGAAAAAGAAAGTGCAGCCAGAAACAGACAAAAATTGGTGCAATTTTTTCATAAAAAATAATGTGCACAAAACCTTGAACAAAGTGTTTGAAAATTTTATTTGATAATATAAATGTTGAATTTGTTTTGGAAAACGGCTTTTTCCTTCATTCTTTTTCGATAATTTAATATTCAACTATCAGGAATTTTAAATTATCCAAATGTTTTTCCAACCCGTGCCTAGGTGTCCAGATAATTGAGAGTGTACTGTGGCAGCAATATTTATGTCATCATCTATCAAGCATGTCGACAAACACACATTTCAAAAATTGTCCTTGAATTGCATTTTACAACAGGTGGGTAGGGGAACTGATGATTATTTCTTATAATTGATCTCTTTTGAAAAATTTATTAGTGCTTTACAAAATGTAAATTCCTTTAAGAAATAACCAATAATTAAATATTTGCACAAAATAAGTAGAAAATTATTTTGCCTAAAACAGCTTAATAGAGGGAGTGAGAGTTTAGAGAAAAAAAAAGTTCTGGTTTCATTATTTTAAATACTAACCTTTGTCTTCTTTTATTTCTACCATAACTGTATGACACAGTGCCAAAAGTTTGAAGAATTCAAAGACTTTTGGATTTTCTTTGTCAATTTCATCAAGCAGTCGTTGATCATAAAAGCAAAATGTTTTCTCTGCATAGAAATTGCGGGAAAAATCAACTTTAGGAGTTCGCTGAAAAATCATGATAGCAAAAAATGAGAAGCTGTTTTTTTTTTATCTCACTTAAATTAAGTAAATACTTCTTTTTCATGTTTCAAAATATATATATATATATATATATATATATATATCTCCAATAAAATTATTTTAATTTATGTATAAATGTCTAAGAATATACCAGAAGAGTTTTTGTGAAAGTGGAAGATTATATAATTCTGAATTAGAGGATAAATCAAAACCTTATCATTAAATGTAATGAAACAGCCATTATTTACATTATTCGTACTATTGTCCTCATCTATGTCGCCAAATTTATCACAACGTTTCAGCCATTGTATGCTCTGGCCTTCTTCAGGTGGTAGGAATCTCGAACTGAACCCTTTATTTCGCTCACTGGGGTAGACTGTTCTAGTTCCACTTGCCGTGTTTAATTGATGGCAGTTATCAGTTTTCTCCTGTTAATTTCCCTCTGAAAGTTCTCCACTGCCTTAACCGGGTACTGAACTCCCACTCTTTGGGTCCTGTCACTGGATCTAGCCAATGCCTTTATCCACTGTGCCATGTGAGGACATCTGTGTATGAATTTCTGGGTATTATAAATCTAATGTCTCAGCAACCATTTTTACCAGTGCTCATATTGCAATTTTTGCTATTATCATTGCTTTTCTCTGGCACTCCTTATTACTGGTTCCCATATTGTATTCATTTTTATGCTTGGTCGAAATGTTGTGATAAATATGGCGACAAGGATGAGGACAATAGTCTGAATAATGTAAATAATGTACATAATACCTCATCTCAGAAATATAGACAGGTAATGAAATAGATTATCAAACTGCACCAAAATAAAATAACATTTTAAATAAGAAATTTTGCCTATGTGGAATTCTCAAAGATGTTTTATGAAAACAGGTTGCATATATTTATATTCTCTGCCCTTCACATAAATGTTTGAAATTTGGCAAAATATTTATCAATGATGATTGAAATAAATGACTGTCTTATCAGTTTTTTTTTGTTTTTTTTTTTTACAGTGCACTTAGCAGCTTTAAATCCTGAAACTTCTCACTTAATTCAATTGAACAATATCTTTTTTTATGTATATTCATTAACAACTTTGATCTGAAATCAATTGAAAAATCAAGACATTAGTTTTCAAGCACAAGATTAACAGCAAAATCTGAAATTGTATTCATCAAAATAGATGAATACAATTTCAGATTTCAGAAAAATGTACCTAAATTTTATGCCTACATAATTGTTCACAATATTTGATTTACATAGTTTACAACATTATTATTCACATTTGATTCATATTGTTTACAACATTATTATTCACATTTGATTTTCACATTGTTTACAACATTATTATTCACATTTGATTTCACATTGTTTACAACATTATTATTCACATTTGATTTCACATTGTTTACAACATTATTATTCACATTTGATTTCACATTGTTTACAACATTATTATTCACATTTGATTTCACATTGTTTACAACATTATTATTCACATTTGATTTCACATTGTTTACAACATTATTATTCACATTTGATTTCACATTGTTTACAACATTATTATTCACATTTGATTTCACATTGTTTACAACATTATTATTCACATTTGATTTCACATTGTTTACAACATTATTATTCACATTTGATTTCACATTGTTTACAACATTATTGTTTACATTGTTGTTTACAACATCTTGATTTAAACTTTTTCAACATATTTCAGTTTGTTGCTTAACAATTAATTCGTGAGTCATGTTTTTCCTTTGATCAGTTGCTATCATTATATGAGGCTTCCTTAGGTTGTCTGTGTCCAAAAAAAGTGAAAAATATTTAAAACAAACTTTGCTAAAATATAAAATTATATGTGTACCCTCCACCCCTTCCATATTTTGAATAATGATAAAAATGTAATGTTTGTAAACAAAAACTATCATCTACAATGTAAATATGCTGATTATTTAATTTTTTTTTATTTAAAAAATAATCAATAATTCTAGATACTAAATCATCTTGTATTCTCTAAATAATTATTTGAAAATAAATTTCTGTAAACAAAAATTGTCATTAATAAAAGAGAGCGATATATAAACTTACATCTGTAATCTCTGCAATGTTTCCGTATTCATCTACATAGTCCCCAAAACACTTCCCAGCAATTGAGCATTTATTGAATGTCATGATGTTCTGAAATAAAATATTATTGGAATGGTAATAAATGATCACATAATTAACATTTTAATAATAACTTTGCCTAAGATTGTTTCTATAATTATGAGTTTGTGGACAAGTGTGCAATCAGCCAAAAATTCTTGGCTAATTAAGTGAGAGAATTAACAAGAAAAAAAAACTATTTTAAATATTTACTTATATACAACTATGCTTCTTGATTCCTTGGGGAACATAGGGCCACAACAACACTTGTCCAATGGACACGGTTCCGGGCAATCCTCTTCAGCTCAGCTCATATCATGCCAGCTGCTATCACCTCAACACTTTTGCATCAAGTCTGTTTTGGTTGATCCACTTTTCGCTTCCCTTATGGATTCCAGTCAAGGGCCTGCCTGCCTGGTGACACTAGAAGCAGACTTGTGGAGTGTGTGGCTGATCTATCCCCATTTCCGTTTCTTGATGTCAATCTTGATTGGGGCTTGTCTGGTCCTGTCCCACATTCCTGAGACATCGGTTGGTAAATGTCTGAAGTTTGTGGGTGTCGGTCTTGGTTACCTGCCAGGTTTCTGAGCCATAAAGTAGAACTGACTTGATATTGGTGTTGAACTTTGTTACAAAGTGAGAGGGCTGTTGATCTCCAGATTGGCTGCAGAGTGTTGAAAGTGTGTCAAGCTTTATTGATATGGCAGCTGATGTCTTCTTCATCTGCCCCCCGACCTTTACTCATGATGCTTCCTGGGCGGACAAACTTATCAACTTCCTTGATGTCTTCTTGGTGTAATCGCACTGGGTTGTGTTGTCTGTTGTTTACCCTCAATGACTTCTGTCTTCCTGATGTTGATTTGGAGGATTTACTTATATAATTGGTGATAAGTATAGAAAGATATGTCATGCTGTAAGAACAAAGTTTAATGCAACATCAATTATCTTCTGTCTTCTTAATTCCTTTCTTTGATTGTCTTCTCCCTGTAATAATGTTTTCCTTTTTCTCATTTTCTTTAACACTCAGTAACCCTGTGCATCTTAGTGGCTTTATTGCCTTAGTTGGGGTGAATTGATTGACATATATATATATATATATATATATATGTATTGACAGTTTTTCTAGACACATTCTTACCATTTAGGCTACAAAAGCTAAACAACAGACATCATTCAAATTAGTCATTATATTCTTTTTGCAATCTCCACTATACTGCTATCTTGTTTGTTTACACTAGTAGTATTACATATAGTAGTCTTAAATTGTTCAAATTTTTCTGATGAAGCATTGTCATAATTTTCAACTAGTATTTCTTTCATTTTATACTGTTGCTTTTTATTACAACTCTCAGGTGTTTTTAAAAATTCTCTAACCAGTAAAGGACACAAATTCAAATTCTCCACAAAGCACATCAAAAGGGGCAATAAAATAAAAAATTAATAATTCTGTTTCATTTGAGAAAGAAATTCAAACAACTTTAATGACAATTTTCTTAATTTTTTCGAGTGGTTTCTCCGAATAAATTTTAATCTTGACATGATGATTGTTTACAGTTTTGATTGTAGAACAATTCTAAAATTCATATCTTTTAATGAAAAACTTTCAATTCTTTACCTATATCCAAAAAAGTTAACATAGTTCATTAAGTTAACCTCAATAAGGAAGAGATTAAAAGAATTTACCTCAATCACAAGATTAAAGGATTAACTTACCTGAGTAAGTGTACCTGTCTTGTCAGAGAAGATGTATTCTATTTGACCTAACTCCTCATTAAGGGTTGTAGTCCGTGCCTTTGCAGGTGTGTTGGACTTTTCATAATACATCTTCACATCCCAATTGATCCAAAGACTGTGAGCAAAACGGATTAATTCGACACTGGAAAGATTTCAAGAAATAAATTTTAAAATGTGGTTTATAAAATAAGTCTTCTTTAGGAGTTTGATGAACATAAGAAATTCATGGAAAGCAAAAAGAAATGAAAAGGTTTTGTTTTTTTTTTTCATTCTATGTTGTGGCCTTGATGTGATTTGTCAATCAATTAGAGCGAACCCTTCTATGCATGCATGAACAGATACTCCCTCATGAGGATGCACAGTCAGCAGAGAGATGCCATAAAGTGATCTTGTGTACTGTGTGACCACTACATGTACAATGGATGAGTGAGTAAATCAAAAGTGCCACTGATGGTAATCCCAAATGTGAACTTTAAAGATTACTTTGAAATGCAAAAGCAATTCTGGCATAAGTTTGTGAGGTCTCAAAAGAGTACTTTGAAGAGGACTAAAGTACCATTGCCCTAAGTAGGCTATATTTCTGTTAACATTATATTTGAGACAAATGTGCATGGGGTGAAAAGGTTTGGGACACGTCACAACCTAAAATCTGTATTCTAATGTTTTATCATTTAAATACTGATTTTAGGAAGTAAGAACTTTCCAACACCCCATGTATTTAATCAGACAAGATGATTTTAGGGAAAAACAAATATAAGAGGGAAAAAAAATTTAATTGTTTAATTACCATCAGAATCCAAAGTGGATTTTCTTAAACATTTCCTTAGGAAAAATAATTTTTACCGATAGGTAATTCCCAAAATAGCTTCAGTTATGTTTTTGCTTTTATTCTAGATTTCAAACTAAATAATATTGTTAAATAATAGTTTAGCACAGTATTATTTTTTAGAGAATTGTATTTCTGCTTTGCATTCCTCATTTTGACCTTTGTGGTCAGATACAAGAAAACAAAAGAAGTCAATTTTGATTGGCTAAGTTAGCAATGGGAATGATAGACATAAAGGGATTTTAGAGAATAGAGATATAAATGTGGAAAAATGTAGATGTTTTTCTTTGTGTCTGAGAAGCAGCTTCCCATTGGAGTGAGAGAGCAACCACATTGGCTATTTAAAAATATACACGTTGATGTGTTGAATAAATTAGTAAGATTCAAATTCCCTTTGTTGATGTCTTTTCATCTCTGGACTCCAAAAACATTTTGCTACCCATCTGGAAGATGACAGAGAGAAGAATGCAACATGAGTGAATCAAGGCCATCGCCCCAAGACTACCCCCAGCACAAAGATGTAATATATACAACATTATATATATGAAATGTTATATCCCACCAGAATATAGGATCCACAGCTTCCATTGCTTTTTCAATGCTGTGTTCCATTAGAACATAGGTGATCATGACTCTTTACTTTACTACTTGTGAATTGTTATTAATTCTTGGAAAAGATAGTGAAGTGGTTTTCTATTGCCTTCCTCACCGTTTGAAATTCAGAATTCTCCTTCTCTTAGCCTGGTTGCCATCCAAGGCCAAAGAACTAGGAATTTCAAAATTAACCTTTTTTCCAATCCATGAAAAAAGCAGAAATTGAAATTGATTTGTTTTTTTTATGGCTTATCAACCCTTTGTAGGTTACTTAAAGTCAAAACATTTTTGATTGTAGATGGTTGCTTTCAGTACTCGGTATTCTCAAGCAGCTCTACATCTAAGAACTGACTGGGCTTGATGCCACATAACTTCAGTGATCAAATAAGAACAGATGATTTGACTATAGACAGAAAAAAAGTGGAATTTGAACAATCATCACTCATGAACTGAACAAAGGATTCAGTTCAAAATTCTTGGAAGGCTTTATGAAGTATAGCAGACACCTGAAGAATAGTGGAACATACAACAACCATTGTGAAGATACTTGTCCAAATCAGTGTATAGTAATCTGAGAGATTGATTGACTGATTGGTTTGTTAGTTTTACAGAACATCAATCCAGGTGGATCATTTAATTCCAAAGAAGGTTTTCAGGTGAATAATTCGAGTTATTTTCTTTTGAGAGCAGGGAATTATAAAGGGAAAAAATTTCCTTTGCATCATTTTTTGGTGGGGTGGGTGGTGAAATTATCGATTGTATAAAATTGGGTGTAAAACAATGTAGGTAAAAAGGTATGGTAAAGAGTTTCTATTCTTATATATTTTCTTGTAATTTATTTAATAAAATTTATGATGTTACTTGAATCATTATTTTTAACTGGGTTCTTTAAGTTATCTGTATTTGTTTTGGATATGCTGAAAGTTATAGCAATTTAGTAGTATGTGTTTAACAATGTATGGTTCCTGGATACATATTGGTGGTTTCTCATTTTTAAGTAAATATTTGTGGGTTTCCTATACAGCATCTGGCTAGTTCCACCTCTTCTCTCATTATCTTTCTGTAACTTGGTTGTCTTTCATTAACGATCCGTTGGATGCTGAGTAATTTGTTGTTTTGACAGTTGTTCCATAATTACTGCCAATTTTTTTTTTTAATGGTCCAGTTTATGGTGGGTCAGGAGTTGGTGTGTGGAACCTTTACATTCAAGAGAGCCATGTTCAACAATTCCTTTGCCATGTATGCCAATAAGTGTCGGTATCCAGCCTAAGAATATTACAGCATGTTTTTCCTATAGTGTCAGTCCTATTTAATAATTTATTTATTAAGGGGTTTCCTATGTTTTTATTATTCATAGATGCATTGTTATATTCTTAAGGATAAAAGAGCATCCAGCTTTGTCCAATATCTTAGAGCCTTCAGTATATATGTGTTTATAATTTTGCTTATGATTTCTTCCATGTAATCAGCTAAGTTTAGTATTAATTTTAGAGTATTTAGTAAGGTTTAACAGTATTGTAGGATGTTTCATTAACCAGGTTGGATTTTTTTGAGATGGTGGGTTTATGAATTAGTGTCGGATTTATTTTGAGTTTTGCTTTCTATGTAAAGGTCAAAAGGTCAGATAGCATTTTCTTTTATATCAAAGAGATGTAAAATAGAGTTTTGTTCTTTTGCATTAGTTTCGCTTAGTTCTTCAGTGATGTACTGGGTTGTGTTATTTCTTTTATGAATCTTTTGTTACTCTTGTAAATGTTTGGAGGGTTCTATTTCTTGAAGGATTTTTGTATTTTGGATTGGGTCTTTCAGAGTTATTTGTTTTGTGCTTATAGATTCTTTTTGCTTGAGGTTGATAGGATTTGTTTTGACTATGGGTGTTTGGTTTATGTGTGGTATATTAAATTTTAGTAATTCTATTATTTTTTTTAATTCATTTATTAGAGTTCTAAGTTCCTGGATTTTTAATTTTTTTTTTCTTGTTTGGTGATTTGTATTTGCGTATAACGTTGGAAGTGAGTTAATCTTGACCTGTTTTCTAGCTTCTCGGAACAAGATGTATTGTGTGTATTTTATTCTTATTATTTGCTTTTCCTTTTTCCAGATGTTACACTCTTTAGAATCTGCTGAGTGTTTTTTTTTTTATGCAGTTTGTATATGAAGGAGGGACTTTCATAGGGTGACTCTTCATAATCAGTCTCAAATTCCCTACATCTTCAACAGATTGATACTCTCGTACATTGATCTTGTAGATGGCCAAATTTCTGACATTTGTTACATCTATGGGGTTTAGGGATGTATGGTTCTACTTTGGATATTGTGTATCCTATTTTTATTTCTTTTGGTAGGGTAGACTCATTGAATAAAGCACACATTTATGAAAACTGATTCCCCAAAACTACAAATCTCCCTCAATGGTTCCATCTGTTTGCTATAAGTGGCAACCCGTGATTATCATTCTTTTGACATCTGTTATGCCTTGGTTTCTTCTTGTTTTTTTGTAGGGTATTATCATTTTTAATTTTTTCCAGTAAGCAGAGTGACAGTTCAAGACATTTTATTACTCCCTTAGAGGAGTTAAGAAATGGGGGGGGGGAGCCTTTACTTTCATGTTGTTTATTTGATTGATTTTTAGTATGTTTTCTGTGTCTTTTTTTGGTTTTTAATTGTTATTTTTCTTTATTTTTTTTTTATTGATTTTTCTTTTATCATGGCTGATATAACCTTTTGTAACAGAAAAGGTGACAGTTGCCATTTCACCATCTAATGATTCGATAATTATGAAACTTGGAAATTGTTTTTTTTTTCCTGATATTTCAGTGTCACTTTTCATTTCAGAGTTTTCATATTCTCTCTTGGATTGTTTATAAGAGTTAGTCATATAATTTTGTTCCTGTATTCACCATCTGTGCTCCCCACCCATCTTGGAGTTCCTTCTTAAGGGACACTATCACCAAGGACTAATCCCATTTGCCCTGATCTGCCAGGGCTACACAGACAGTAAAGTGGCCACAAGCACCCACATTCCCTCACCATATCTACCCAAGTATAGTATGGTGTAAGTATTCACAACCATGTCATAACCATTTTCTTTCATCCCAACTAGCCCTTGCTAGACTGGATTGGATTGAGATATTTCATGCATTTGTTTATCCCAAGTTGGGACTGAAGTGGCATGTCGTAGAAACTCTTAAACATTTTATACTAGATCAGGAGTCACTCAGTCACCAGGACTCCATCCCCAGGTATCACGGGTTGCCACCCATAGTAAACAGATGGAACCATTGAGGGAGATTTGTCATTTTGGGGAATCAGTTTTCGTAAATGTGTACTTTATATAATGCAATTTTCTAGGTATTTTTGTATGGACAGGTAGTTTAGGTATAGCATTTTGTGTAAACAGTTTGTGGATTATGATTTTTGTTGGTAGTAGGTGACTTTTTCTTTTGTTTTCAATAGATTGTTTGAATTTAAAAACTACATTATTTTTCCTGAAGGCACCATCCTAGGTATAAACAGATAGGTTGTTGGCTTATCGTATAAGCTGACAGCATATAGGTGAGGCTTTTCTCATATAAATAGTTTCTAGTCTATTTTTCTTTCTATATTACACATGGTAGTTGTTTAATGTTCTACCCAGAACATGGGTGAAATTGTTTTGTGAAAAAAAAACCATGATTGCAGTTTAGCTTCATGCCTAGGTCAATCAGAGAGAGAGAGAGAGGAAAGAGAGAAGAGAGAATATTGAGAAGAGGAAAGAGAAAAGGGAGAAGAGAGAAGAGGAAAGAGAAAAGGGAGATGAGGAAAGAGAAAAGAAAGGAGAAATAGAGGAGAGAGAACAGAAGAGAGAGAGAGAAAAAGAGAGAGAAGAGAGAAGAGAACAGAAGAAGAGAGAGAGAAAGAAAAGAGAACAGAAGAGAGAGAGAGAGAGAGAAGAGAGAAGAGAGAGAGAGAAGAGAGAGAAGAGAAGAGAGAAAGAGAGAGAGAACAGAAAGAGAGAGAGAGAAAGAAGAACAGAGAGAGAGAGAAAGGAAAGAGAGAACAGAAGAGAGAGAAAGAGAGAACAGAAGAGAGAGAGAAAGGCGAAAGAGAGAACAGAAGAGAGAGAGAGAAAGGCGAAAGAGAGAACAGAAGAGAGAGAGAGAAAGGCGAAAGAGAGAACAGAAGAGAGAGAGAGAAAGGCGAAAGAGAGAACAGAAGAGAGAGAGAGAAAGAGAAAGAGAGAAGAGAAGAGAGAGAGAGAACAGAAAGAGAGAAAAAGAAGAGAAGAAGAGAGAGAGAGAAAGGAAAAAGAGAGAACAGAAGAGAGAGAGAGAAAAGAGAGAAAGAAGAGAAGAGAGAAAGAGAGAGAGAACAGAAAGAGAGAGAGAGAAAAGAGAGAGAGAGAAGAGAACGGAAGAGAGAGAAGAGAGAGAGAGAGAGAGAGAGAAAGGAAGAGAGTGAGAGAGAAAGAGAGAGAACGGAAGAGAGTGAGAGAGAAAGAGAGAGAACAGAAGTGAGAGAACAGAAGAGAGAAGTGAGAGAAAGAGAGAGGGAGAGAGAAAGAGAGAGTAAAGCTAGTAATGAAATAATAGTAATAATGAAATGGCCCAGAGCATGGGAATAAGATCAATAGTGATAATGCATCATCTAAAAAATATAATAGTAAAACTAATTCAAGTCATAAGATGTTCAGCAATTTTACTATTAACCATGCCTAGTAGAATTATAATTAGAAAATGTCATTCTGTTTTCGGTTAACACTGCCAAGAATCTTGGAAAAGACCCAGTATAACAGAACAAGCATATAAATCATTGTCCCATACCAATAGAATAATTACCATTTCTAAATAAAATGAATGGTTTGGCTCTAAGTTATTCTGTCAATATTGTTCTCTTAAAAAACATGGATTGATTTCAGAATGATGAAATCTGCAACAGCAGGCAATTCTTACCTGACATACAAAGAAATTGGTACCACTGTGTTTAGAATGATGATGTACGAGAGAAATACCAGCAGAGCTTTGATAGTTGCACCAGCAGCCTTGGACCCCTGTCTATTTCCAACAAAACTTCCAGGAATGAAATATTCCCAAGGAAAGAAACCCTGGAATCGGTAACCAGTCACATTTTCCCAAACTCCACAGGCAACCGTACAAATAAGACACATGCAAAGAAGGAACACAACAATCTGAAAAGCAGAAAAGTTTTCAAAACTGAAATGTTTGGATGAGAAATCAGTTCTTGAAGAATCACACAGTTGGAATTAGAGATATTTTATAATGACTCGATAATAATATTTTCTAATGACTCCATAATATTTTGTAATGATTCAACAAAATAAATCACTCGTCGCTGTACCAGAGAATAACACTATAAAAAAGAATCCTTACAAATGTTTTTAATTAAAATGCAATAATTTAAAGACCTTTGAAATTTTAATTAAAAAAAAATAAAAATAAAATTTGTGAAAAAAAAAATTATTTTTTCATATTTAAAAATTTTAGACTTGCTTCATTAAATATTTTGTTATTGGACTAAAATCAATATAAAACTGGTTCTGATACAAGTTTGATTAAAAACTATACAGAAGGAATGTTTTCATTTTTTTGTACTTATTTTTTCTCATGTACAAGAATGTATCCAATAAATGTAACTACTATTATGTTTGTGAGAGAGAGCTTTCAACAATACTTCTGGACTTTGTCTAGACAGAAGAAACAGTTAGTAGATGAAACAAAATCCCCAATCTCTAATCCCATGTTTAGTGTATTTTCTCAAGGCTTTTCTTTAAAAACTGATTTATATATACCAAGTCATGAAACAACATGGTGTTTTAGGATTAAAGAGAAAGAAAAAAAAAACGGCATCAGAATATTACATGCTTTTCTCTTATAGTGCAATGGAGAGATTCTGTATTAGGATCAGAATATCTCACACCCAGCCCCCCCACAACTGACAAACTACCCAAATACAAGAACATAGCTGAGGAAGAACTGATATGGCACATAAATTTAAGTCAGAAGCAACTAAGCTTTGATCTATATGTAAATACTTCCATCAATGTTTTAGGAGGACTAAGAGTTTGTTTTTATTCTTTTTGATTTTTTTTTTTGTAACATTAATATTTGGAAGTAAAATTGGTGAGCAGAGTTCAAATTCCACTGAAGTCTGTTTTGTTCACTTTGCACTAATGCTTTTGAGAAAAGCATAACCCCATCTCTTCTATGAGACAGGATAGACTGCCTAGTTTCAAGCATTGGGTGGCAACCAGTCTTAGAAAAAGAAAACACTGAATTTACAACTGTGAGAAAAAAAAAAAAAAAACAATGGGAAAATACTCCACTATCTTTCATCTGATGTTATAGCTATTTACATACATTAAGGAAAATAAGTTCTGAAGAGCCTAAACCCTAACACCCTGAAGGCATGTATAATTTAAAATATTCAGTTAATTGCATAACAGAAAAGTTTTTCAAGAAATGCACCATGAGAAGTTTTCAAAAAGTTCAGACTTACCCCTAAGATGAGCATATTCATGAGACGGTCAATATGTGTGCGCTTGAAAACCGCCCGCCCACTGTTCATCATGAGTTTAGTGTCACGGCCAGCAAAGATGACAAGTCCATAGCACCATTTAGTATTGCGTAAAACACAGCCTCTCAGCAGCAGTTTATTATTGTCAAGAGAAAAATTTTGGTCCTTCCACTTCATGGTACCCTCAAATTTATTCAACCGATTGTTGGGAGGTTCACAGACAAGTTCAGCTGCAGAATGGAAAAGATATTTTTTTTTTACTTATTTTACCCTAAGCAAGGCAACAAAGTTACTAAGATGCAGGAGGTTACTGAGCATGAAAGAATATAAGGAAAAGCAAAACATTATTAAAGAGTAAGAACAATAAAAGTACAGAATTTAAGACAGAAGATGACAATTTAGTTATATCTGAAGTCTTGTAAAATCTATCCTAATATAATTCTGCTTCTTCCTTCAGTCAACATTTACATTACACCCTGCCAATACCTCATAATTAATTAACTATTCTGTTTAGATTGTGAGGAAATATAGAAAAAACATAACAGTGATGCTCTTTGGTTTCAGTGAGAAAAAGAAAGGCAAGATAGTGAAGTTGTAGGAAAAACAAAAACTTCACTGTCACAAATCCTCACTATACGTCAACACTCTGGACAACGTACGAACAGTACAACTCTCACCAAGACGAATGCTTACTCCTTTCATCTTGTGGGATTTTTATTGTATCAGGCTGCAATTGTATTGGCAAAAGAACCAGCCAATCCACACTTGACATTAAGCTACTACTGATTGGCCAAAGAACCAGCCAATCGACACAATGGACCTGTTTTAAAAACAAGATACTTTAACCTTTTTTCTTTTTCATTATTTTCTCTTCACATAGAGTGCCACCTGCCATCTGCAACTTTAAGGTAAGTGATCTTTGTTCTTGACTGTTGCAAAAAATCATGCAAACCTAGACATCTTTGCCTTCTGTGGTAGCTCACTACAGGAAGCAATAAGGGTCTCATGCATTTAAAGTTTGTTTCAGTGAAATGTAAGAACTTGTCAATTTCAAATCTTTTCATTTTTACTCTCTTACTTCTTTAAATAAGGACCAGCACTCATAATTGATTTTAATCATTTCACCCCAAGCAAGGCAATAAAGCCACTAAAACACAAGAGGCTACAGAGTGTGAAAAAATAAGAAAAAGAAAAAAATTATCAGAGGGAGAACAATAAAAAAAAAGAGTAATCAAGAAGACAGTAGATAACGATTGACATTGCATTTAAATTTTTGAAGATCAAATCTGGCTGGAAAGCCAGAAGAGAGTTCCACAGACAAGAAGTGCAAGAAAATAAACTGTTAGCAACGAACTTACGGTTACATTTAGCTAATTCAACTGTAAAAGGATGGGACCTTGTTGCCAATCTAGTACTGCACTTAAATACCTAAAGTCTATGTACCACAGAGGAAAGTAATATTTATTTTGTTTTAATACAAAAATGTGGCACAAGGCCAGAAGGAGGTAGATGGGGAAATTTGGTGCTTCTTATAATTAAACCTAGCTAGCCACAATTACTGACCCAAACATACCACAGTATTCCTTACACTAAAACAACACATTCTTACTAATTCCATCATAATACCTCAAAGTCTCTATGAAGTCCTAACTAGTCCCCATATGTAAAATTTTTTATGTAGAGGGTAGGGAACAATTTTTAAGGAAAGTTCAACAGAACAATTACCATGAAAGTATTTTTAGAAAAGGCACAGAAAAGCTATATTAGAGCAGTGAAAAAGCCGAGATGTCAGGTCAGGATCAATAACATTGCAGATTTGTCTTTGGATCTTATCAAGAATCTCTAAACATATAGCAGAAGCACCAGACCAGGAAGTATTTGATAATCTTTAAAAAGAATCCACTATAGAGCAGTTTTCTTTTTTCTTCCACATTAACTTTTCCCTCCATTCAAATAAAAACATTTTATGAAATGACAAAAATCCAGCCAACAAAATATTTTGTTCAGTTTTTAATAAAATACAAATTATATGTTGTAGAAACACTATCTAATTTCTGTAGTGTTAAACTTTGGGAGAGTTCATTATTGTGACAAGTGTGTGTGTCTTCAGAACGGTAATGCACTTACAAAAAGTACATTATTATCATTAGGAACATTATCATTTAATTTTATTCTTGCAGAATATTACTGCCAAATGGTGAGTTCAATCCTCACGCCGTACCCAATGTTTGTAGTCTTGTACTAAAAAAGACTTCCATTACTAGGTATATAAAATATTTTCTTAGAAGAGTTGTGGAGTGAAGACGGAAATAAACATCAAAAGAGTCAAACATCAAATGACAAAAAAAAATGGTTTCTGAGTCTAAGGATTCATGCAATCATCCAGTTAATAAATGAATGCTTTGAAGAGAGATACTTAACATTTTTCAACCAATGGGTTGTATTTCTGCCAACAATGGAAAAAAAAACCCCAAAAAACATGGTTTGCAATCAATTTGAAGGTTATTTAAGCAAAGTTTCTAGATGGACAAGCCAGTAAGGAGAAACAGATTGACCCATCTTCCTCACCAAATTACATGACATTTACACTTTCTTACTTTTTTCCTTGCCTCTTTCTCAGACATACACATAAAGAAATCACATTTCTTTTCATCTTAACAAACAAGGACTGTAAGAACATTAACACTGATACACATAAGAAAAATTTAGTTGTAAAAAATACAAAAATTTAGTTGTAAAAAATACAAAAATATCTTATATTTTTATATCTAAACACCTTTTTCTTTGTTGTGGGTTGATTCTGCAACAGAGTCACTCAATTTACCACTACACACACACAAACAAACACACAAATAATACAATATGTAAGAAAATAGACATACTGATGTATCTACAGAGCTTTTTGCTAGTAATAAGGGCAATTATAGGAGACTGTATAATGCTTCAAAGATTTTTTTGTACTGTGATTATTATGATGTTAAGAATAGCAGCAGCAGAACATGAGTAGTTCTAAAATGTTACAGTGTAAAAATAACATGAAAATAAACTTATTACCATTAAACTTGGACAGTTGCTCCAAGTCATCACCCATCTCAGCAGTTTCAGTAACAGCTTGCCTTACTTTTAAATTGGTCTCCCTAAAAGTGAAGAGAAAAATTAGGCAAAATATAAACTTGGAAAACATTTTTGAAGACTAACAAGCAAGGTTGACATAGAAGAGGATATTAGTATTGAGAGTTTGTTTTTTATCGTGACAGAGAAAGGCAAATTAAGAAGTTTAAAAACTGCTTTTCTTTTTCAAGTTACTTTTGAGTTTAATAAAATAGCAAATAAGAAATGAGCAGTGGTGCAATTTTTCCTCCTCAACCACACAAAGCAAAACAAGAACCAGATTAAAGATCATTTTCAATAAGTTTCTTAAAGTCATGTTTGTTAAATATTGAACAACAATGAACAGGTCTCTTTTTCTTTCAGTTTTATTCATTCTTTATAAATCTAAATAATGCCCAGATGATGGTGGAATAAATATTTAAATATAGGCACAATCATCCACACACCAATAAGCATTTTTTTTATTCAGTTTTTCATCTTTTAAGGAACAAAAGATGAAATTAAAATACAGAATAGCTTAAAAAATTTTTTACTAGGAGGTGAGAAAAACAACAACTTTCCAATAATCTAAAGTACGTACCCATCTAATTCAGCAGTTTCAATGTAACACAAACTGTTAGGTTCACTTGTCGAGAGCAGGTAGAGATCAGCCTAAAACAATAAAAATGTAGCTTTTAATTTAAACTTTCTTTATAAAACAGTTGGATTTTAGATGTAATGGGAGTATCTTTTAACACTAATTGTTCACCAATACAAGGCCTAAGATGCACTCAAGGCAAACGGTTAAGAATGAAGTTGTTGTATAGACAGGAGGAGGAAGTAAGTGCAGATTATAAAGATATTGAGAATGATAATGGTTGAACTGGGATTTGAAATGGATAAGATTGTAGAGATTGGTGACTCTGTTCCACAAAGTAGCAGCTCCTGGGAAGAAGCTCTCTGAATGGAAGAGAGTGGGAGATGATGTGTCCCGGTGCACAAAGGATGGCAAGTCTTAGCTGGGTAGATGTCAGAATATCTGCCAAGGAAATAGTGATAGATTAGTGAGATACTTATAATATTTCATCCATATGGAAGGGGCTGCAGAGTGAAAAATAATTCATATATATATATATATATATATATATATATATATATACGATGGATAAATTGTCGTCTAAATTATGTAAATAAAAAAAAATAAAATAACACTGACATCCCATTTTAACAGATATATATATATACTAAAATTACACAAAAATATCTTGACAACTTCAGAATCTCCTGCAACTCTTCTGGATGGTCTCCTTGTTTAAGTTGGTGAATACTGCCATGATCCTTGCCTTTGTCCCCATGTTGTATTTTTAATCTCCCACATGTTGTTTATCTTTGATTTTGTTGACTGCACAGCATAGTAGTGTCATTTGGACACCATCTGTGAGAAAAAGAGCATTATGATGCAATTCACCCCACCAGAAATTTGGAAACTGTATGCTGTACTGCTTGGCATTTGCACCAGAAGCTCCAACATGAACATTTCAGAGTGTTTGGTTGTCAGTCTGAGGATAGTGCAGAGGATTCGGGAGTTGGATGAGTCTAATGGTGATTACAAAGGTACAGCAGCACAGAAAACTCACTCTGTACTAATAAGAAAAGAACTCCTGGATTTGTTGGTGAGGGTCTCAGATTCAACACAGAGGCCTACATCAAATGCCTTGAGGAGGTAGTGCTACCCTGGGTCAAGAGGGTGGCTGCTGGAAGACCCTATGTCTGGCAACAGGACTCTGCACCATGCCACACAAGCAGGAGGACCCAGTCATGGCTGTCAGACAATTTCTGCACCCACAACACCCTTTACATCTGGTCACCTAACAGCCCAGATTGCAGCCTTCTTGATTATTATGTGTAGGGTGCAGCTAAGCAAGAGACCCTTTGTAACACCAAAGTTGAACTAAAGGCAAAGATTATGGCAGGATTCAGCAACTTAAACAAGGAGACTGTCCAGAAGAGCTGCAGGAGATTCTAAAGTCATCTGGAGGCAGTGGTTGAAGCCAATGGTGATTTTGTGATTTCATGGAATAAATTTACTCTTTAGTATTTCAAGATACTTTTATATAATTTTGGTAAATATATCTGTTAAAATGAGAGGTCAGTGTTATTTTCATTTTTGCATAATTTAGACAATTTATTCATTGCAACCTATATATCTCCCAAGAAAATTTCTTATTAATACCAGTTGTTAATTTCTCTAAATAATCCCAGTTTTTGTTATAAACTGTCGAGACATTTGTGTTCCCTGTTGAAAAAGGCGTTGGATGTAAAGAGTAGTGATTATTGAAAATCTCATTAACTCAATTCTATATTAATAGTTTCAATCCTCCTGAGGTATTCATGCAATATAATCCAAAAGAAAAATGATTAATTAAAGCTTCACCCACTTAAAAAAAAAAAAATAGTAGTGATAAAAATATAAGATACTAGCAGTAGAGCCCGGCGTTGCCCAGGGATGTAACAGTAAGAGATAGATCAAGTATCGACCATCATGAAGACTGAAAAATAAAATTGACAAAGATTATTGTTTAAGGTTGACAGACTCGCATGTCTTAATTAGATTTTTTTTTGTTTTTTTATGAATTGGTCAAACCCAAACTCAAACAAAAACATTGTTTTCAATCGTTATCAGTCTATCGATTGAATAGAATTTTATTATAAACAATTGTCTTGTAAATGGAATTTTTAAAGCATTCTGAATGTAAAAATAAAGAAAAAAGTGTGCAAGACAATAAGAAACACTACCTGCCAAAAAAAGTGAAGTTTTGTTGAAATCGGTTGAAAAATGTAGGAAATCCGATCCGATATATAAACGAACACACACACACACACAAACAACCTGGGTTTTATAATAAGTATAACTCGATATGAGTTGTCCCCCTTTCATTCTGGCGACAGAATCCTGTTTTAAGTGTTTTCAAATTGATTTCGTGCAAAAACAATTGTGTTTTTCCAATTTTGGGTGCTGTCAAAACCACCGCAAGGTAATTTTACACAGCCCTAATGAAGTTTTGTTGAAATCGGTTGAAAAATGTAGGAAATCCGATCCAATATATAAACGTACAGACACACACACACACACAATCTGTGTTTTATAATAAGTAAGATAGAGCCTTGTGAGTGTATGAATTAGATTTGAGATTCTATAGTTTGGAAAATATCCAGCATTTTGAATATCTTAACTGCCCATTCTTTAGGCAGAGGTTGTCAGCATAACATCATCAGCTCATGTACAGTCCACATTGTGATGTCTAGTTTTTCCCAAAGTTAAATTTCAGACTGTGGATAAGATTTAAGAGAATGCAATGAATCAGCTGATGGAAATTCCCTAAAGAGGACGTTTCACTTTCTTGTAAAAATGCAAGGGATCCTGAGAAATTTAAGAATTCCAAAGTAGTGTATTTTGAGAGTACCAAGACGTCATTTCCTTGTGTAGACTAAAATTGTTTTTAGACAAATCTCAGATCATCTCAAGACTGATTCAATGAATTACCTAGAAGAGCAGCTAACTTTGATAATTGATAAGGAATTTTTATCATCAGTGATATTAAAAGATGTCAATCCTTTAAAAACTACTAAATTTCATTTTGAAGATGCAAACAATAACTGTCATTATCAAAACTTCACTATTTGCTATATATATATATATATAGATTTTTTTCTAATTCTCCAAAAATTAGCACTTATCCTTATAAGATAATTTTATATCCTTGCTTCATGGTAGAGTGGGCACATATAGTTTTAAATTCTTCTTCTTTATGTGATGTGTCCCCCTCAGGATGTAGGTGATCATGGCTCGTTACAATTTCCTGCCCTTTGCAGCTCTTAATAAATTTTGTCTCTTTGTTATTTCTTTGTCCAACATCCATTTACTTAAGCTTATTAATTATGTTTTCTTCTGTCCCTCAATCTGTACTGTGAATATCAGATTTTCCAAGCCCTCTTTCCTCATTTTTAAATTAGCAAATTCAATTCCCCAAAATACCAATAGGTTTAATATGTGTATCTGGTGTTACTTATCTGTAGCAGTATCACCCTCTAGTAATAAATGGATCTAGCATAACCTCTTATTTTATTCTATACAGTGACCAAGTGATAATTTTAAACAACATAGTGAAGGAAAAAAGGAAAGAAAGAAAAAGATTATCAAGTAACTAAAGTGTATGAATGTGTTGGTGAGGAGAAAATAAAATGTGTTGGTGTGAGAGAAAATAAAAACAAAAAAAATGTATCCTGTAAAAAATATATTTGATTTTAGAGATGAAAAAAAAAAACAAACAAATAAAACTACTGCTTTTAAAAACTGATAAGAAAAAAGCAAGACAAAGAATAAAAACTTTTTCAGTTATAAAAATGAGAATGCTAGTCCAAAAGAATTATTATGCCTTCAGCTTAACCCCACCATAATAAAAACAATCAGGAGGTGAATGTCACTTACTGCAACAAACTGGTTGTTCTCCATACGAATGATGTCCCCAACAACAACTTTGTGCCACTTCTCCTCAACCATTTTGCCATTTCGTAACACACAAGAAATACGATTATTCACTTGATTGTCACTCCGATGACGTTGCTAGAGAAAACAATAAATAGGAAAAGCATTAAAATGGACAAAAAATAAATGTAAAAATTAACATTGTAAATAATTATATTATAGTAATTGAAGTATCTTTACCAAGGCCACTCACAGCAAGATAATGTTTCTGCCACTTTTCTGTCAGACGCCAAGTACCATTGTTCATTCTTTCTATAAAACATGTTAACTATGGGTACTTCAAAAATGTCATTTTATTTCTCAACTGATCACATCTTAGTACAAAAAAAAATCCAATGAATCTACCAAGAGATATAGAATTTCTCTTTGTAAATTGCAGTATTCTGGAACAAAGTAACAGTTTTTGATGAGACTTATTTATATTCAGTATTTAATACAATGAGTATGCTTAGTTGGCAGTGGGGGGAGGTTAGAATTCTTAAGATGCAATAAAAAGTAGAGTCAGAAAATCATTTAAAAGATCAAAAAGTGCAAAATTATTGAACAGAGTGGTCCTATTAAACTTGAGATAGGGAGTCAGATAAAAACACTTTCTTCCACTAGGCACCTTAGTGTATCACAGGAGATTGCTATAACATGTAGCAATAACACCATCTTGCTCACAAATTTTCTCACTCAAATGTTATATTAACTTTTCCCTCCATTCAAATAAAAACATTTTATGAAATGACAAAAATCCAGCCAATAAAATATTTTGTTCAGTTTTTAATAAAATGCAAATTATATGTTGTGGAAACACGATCTAATTTCTGTAGTGTTAAACTTTGGGAGAGTTCATTATTGTGACAAGTGTGTGTGTGTCTTCAGAACGATAATGCACTTACAAAAAGTACATTATTATCATTAGGAACATTATCATTTAATTTTATTCTTGCAGAATATTACTGCCAAATGGTGAGTTCAATCCTCACGCAGTACCCAATGTACTTTTTGTAAAATATGCACTTTTTGATCCTTTAAATGATTTTCTGACTTTACTTTTTATTGTATCTTAAGAATTCTACCCCCACTCACTGCCAACTAAGCATACTCATTGTATTAAATACTGAATATAAATAAGAGTTCAAGTCTCTTTTATTGACTAAGCTACAGAACATAAAATATTTTGTTAAGACAGCTTCACCTGTAAACATATTCTAACAAAAATAAAATTTCTGTTAAAAAAATATTTGTTGCAAGATATAATTACTTATTCCCATATCAAAGAAGCAGTTTTTAATTTACAATTGAGATTTAGTTACTTTTCTGCCTGACTCTCTGGAATCATTTACATTTGGACTAATGTCCTCATCTTTGTTGTTGTTATCACGCTTCAGCCATTGTGCCATCTAGCCTCCCTCAGTTGTCTGTCAATCTGGGTAATCTTCACACTGACACCTGAAGAAGGCTGGCAGGAACAATAGTTGAAACATGATAACAACAACAAAGATGAGGACATTAGTCTAAATAGAGGATAACTCCCAAACCAGGATTCTTCCAAAGGAGCTTCAAGATTCTGTCAAGAACTTTCAGAGGAATTCTTCAAGATGGTACCAAATACAGTTGAAATTTTCAGTTTTAATAAGTTTTAAATATGACACAAAATGTAGCATGTGTGCATTTATAAAAACAACAAATACAGCAATTATAAGGTAACCAAAAAACATCCTTGTCATTTTGTATGTTGTGTGGTCAGAAGTCGTTACAGCTATGCAAATGAATGCATCATATGCCAGGAAAGTGGTGTGGGTGGAGGAATTGCTCTTGACCAATGCACTAGCAAGAGAACATTGTGGTGTCAATGCAGCTCATTCAGGGTCGCCTGTTTTATGACTATGTTGGGGTATGTCTAAAGCTGCATCAAGTTGCTGAATACATCAAGCCTTTGGGAATAATACTGTGAGTGAACACACCATCAGGCATTGGTTCCAGAAGTTCAGATCGTGAGATCTGTCCCTTTGTCATGGTCCAGACTGGTCAGCCAAAGTCCTGAATAATGAGGCCCTGAATGCAGTCATAGAGGAGGACAACAGATAAATTTGTAGTGAGTTTGCTGAATGCTTTCAGGCTTCTGATGAAACAAACTTCACCTATATTGCATTGGTGTGCAAGTTGAGCAAGTGGGTACCCCACATACTGTCAGAAGCCAACATGCAACAATGAGTGATAGCCTGTTTCTTGTTGCTTTCTCAGCACTGCAGTATACCAATATTTGATCAAGTGCTCATCAGTGTTGAAAAATGGGCCCTGTATTACACTTCCAAGTATGCTCAACATTGGTTGTCACCACTGGACATTGTAACTCACAAGACTACCTCTACACCCACACAAGATTATACTTTGTATCTAATAGACTGTTGCTAAGTGATACACTATAAGATACTAGCAATGTGCCAAACCATCCCTGCACATCTGTACTCACAGCAGTTGGAACAGGTGCAACAGGCACTGAAGCAAAAGAAGCCAGCACTGGTTAATCACAAGGGTATACTGTTCTTCCATGACAATGCCAGGCATCATGTGGCCAGGGATACCATACAACAACTTGGCCGAGAGACACTGTGCCATCCACCTTACTCTGCAGATTACTACCTCTTCCGTTCTCTGGACAACCATCTTCATGGAAAATCTTTTACAAATGAAGCAGACTTGTGACAGACACTAACAGACTTCTTTGCATCCAAGACTGCCAGGGCAGTATGCAGATGGAGGCATATTGGAAAAAGGTTCTGGATGCTGATGGGGATTACTTTGAGGTCTGATGGTATGTCATATTTGCAGTATATACCTTTTAATTCTAAAGGATCATAAATAGCAAGGATGTTTTTAGTTATCTTACATTTTAGTGATATTTTTTGACAAATTTCACCTACAATTTGTTGTTTGTATTTGAAGATCTTTTGTTATATAAAATGATCCTTGCAGATAGATATCCTCATGTTTGTTGTTTTTAACACTATCTTTCAGCTGCCACAATGCAGTTTTCTACAGGTATCTATCACATACAGAAATGATTAGGGAAGCTTGAAGTTAAGGATTGCATTTAAAATTCTTTGAAGAATTACTAAATTCAAGAGACACCTGAAGTGTTTCCACTCGCTGAAACATTGTAATAAAAACAACAAAAATATTAAGATGCTTATGAGGAAAAAACAATTAGTGTACATTATAGATGCAAGCAAAAGGAGGCATGGCGGAGTAATGGATTATGGCTCGGATTGAGGAATCGAAGAGCCAAGTTCAAATTCCACTCGAATCCCTTATATTCACTTACGTGTTAATATCCTTAGGAAAGGTATGAATCCTCTTCTTCTCCCCCCAGCTATAAGTAAATAGCAGGACAGGCTGGATTCTCTAGCCTTGGATGGCAACTGGTCTACCGCAAAAAGAAATGGCAACCTACTGCAGGAAAAAATCTGCCTCGTCAGTCATGTATCGAAAGATACATGATTGCTTAAGCATGTATCATGCATGGCACATAACTGATAATACTGTTGTTCTGCGTTGCACAATGAGGTAGACAAAACAGATTCCAGAATGCCTATGAATGTGTTGTATTTTTTTCTAAGATCAACTTCTGAATATTTTTCCCCTTCGGAGAGCTGAGTTCAAATTCCACTCAAATCCCTTACATTCACTTATATACTAATACCCTTGTGAAAGGTATGAATCCACTTCTTCTCTCCCCTGCTATGGGTAAATATCAGGACAGACCGGGTTCCATAGCTTTGGATGGCAACTGGTCTACTGCAGAAAGAAATGGCAACTTACTGTGGGAAAAAATCTGCCTCATCAGTCATGTATCAAAAGATACATGATTAGCTAAGCCTGTATCAAGCATGGCACATAACTGAACTGTACTGATAGATGCAAGCAAGCATATTTTGTGAGCATTGCAAGCGCTTTATACACTCTTATTTTTGTCTCTATGTTTGGCATGTGAGTTCAGATTATGTCCTCAGAACTTGAATCCACCTTTCTGTTTCTCTATCGTATCATTTGAGTAAACAAAAAATTGTTTTTTTTTATCCCAACACTCTTCACTATAATTTTTTTTTACTAGTATCATATTATTGTTGCTTTTTATCCCAACACACTCAGTCAACCTTTGTTCCATTAAAATAACCTACTTACAATTGATATTAATAATTTTTTTTATGTAAGTCTATCAAAATCAAAACCAACATCTTTACTAGCTGAACCATGATACCCAAAATATTTATTTTTAGATAGTAGGTCAGTTAGGTAAATATTCAGGTGGATATAAATATCAGAATTAGAATCCAGCCTACAAATTTAGATACCCTATCAACAACCTGGTAATTCTTGTCAAACTGTCTGTCAGCTTTAAAGAGAATAGAACTAAAGTAAAAGTCCATATTTGGAAACAAATTGTGTGGAAAGATTTGAGTTGTTCAGTTAAGGAAATCAATTAAGACAAAAGTAAATAAAGATACTGACAAGCTAAAGTTAAAAGGAAAAAAAGCTCTGAGCCACTGCCAGCAACTTCACTCTTCAGTCAAACTAATACAGACATAATCTTCCCAAAAAGTTGAGCTAAACTGACAGTTGATCATCTAGAGAATATATTAGCTCAGATTGGGTGAAGAGCCGGAAAATCATGCCCAACAACTTGACAACACATACAAATGTATATTCATAAGTGACAATGTTGAAATGTCTCAGCAGTCACACATCCAATAAAATCTACTTTGGATGATGACTTTGGGGTCAGTTATGGCGTCAGAGTTGAGGCATTTATTTGTTTCTCACACACTTGATGGTCTTCTACACATGGGTTCATGAGAGAAATTCTGATTTCAGCTTGGAACATTTAGGAAATGCTGATATGAGGTGCTTTGATCTATTGACCGATATGTTTTTCACGGCTTAACCCTTTGTGTGTTATTTATAGCCAAAACATTATCATTGTAAGAACAATCCATTTTTTTTTTAGAATAACAATGATTTTTCAACATCATTATTTAACTGGGGGAAGAGGCGGATTAGTACTTTTCCCCAAAAGTATTTGCACGTAAGTAAATGTGAATTAACTTGACTGGAATTTGAACTCAGCTCTCCACTTTCATATTCCAAGCCAGTATCCATTTCACAACCCACAATAGTAGAACCAAAAAAAATGTTTCTAATTTGAGTTGGAATGACTGTAAAAAAAAAAAAAACCCTCCCCAAATTTGCCAACAAAACAGATGCATGCTGGAATTTCTTCATAGCCAATAAAATAGGCCACTTCTCAGTCCCATCCACCATATTTTTGTTCTTTCTTGTGTTGAAGTCAGAACAGTGTGATCACTTGTTTGTATCTCCTTTTGTGTGTTAACACCATTCTTAGTTTGTGAGCTTTTTTTACCTCATTACTGTTAAAGGTGTTGAGAGGAGGGCAATTAGTGTGGTGTGTTGTGTCTAAACCTATTTTTATTTTAAAACAACATATTGTTAGGGTTATTATATCAGAAAATGCACATTCCTACTCATTGCCCCCTTCCCCTTTTTTCTTTCTTTCACATTGCACAAAAATATTTGAACAAAAGTAAAACTGGTTTAGCACCATAAGTTTTTGCTTCATCCAAGGGAATTCCGTAAGAATTGCAACCATTAAACAATTTGAAATTAAGAAATAAGCATCATCGCCTTTTTTAACCTTTCTCTGCATCTTACATCCAATGAATAAAACAAGAGTTTTAGTTGATGCTGTAATTTTTTTAAGACAGAAGATCAGAGGTGTTGTAAGGAGGTCAATTGGTGTGTTATGCTGTGTCTAAACCTATTTTATTATAAGATGACATACTGTTAGGTTTATTATATCAAAAAATGTACATTCCTACTCATTGCCACCTTCCCCTTTTTCTTTCTTTCTATCACATTGCACAAAAATATTTGAACAAAAGTAAAACTGGTTTAGCACCATTATTTACATTATTCGGACTATTGTCCTCATCTTTGTCACCATATTTATTACAACGTTTTGGCCGTTGTACGCTCCAGCCAAAATGTTGTAATAAATATGGTGACAAAGATGAGGACAATAGTCCGAATAATGTAAATAATGTACATAATACCTCATCTCAGAAATATAGACAGACACTGGTTTAGCACCATAAGTTTTTGCTTCATTTATTATTTGTTTTTTGCATCAATTCAGGCAGTGGATACAACTGAAAGGGATCGTGCATTGGAACAGCTTGCTCAGGTTCAAAAGCAAAACACAAAACTGATGATGGAAACGGCTCATTTGGGCTTAAAATATCAAGTTGTAATGTCCAAATGTAATTGGCTTCAAAAAGAACTCAGTAGAGCTAAAGAGGAAATCTTAATGCTCAAGTAAGTATTCAATTACTGAAATGACTGCAAAAACATCCTCCCTCCCCAAATTCATAGACAAACCATACAAATGTATGCTGGAATTTATTCCTAGGCAATAAGATAGGCCACTTCTCAGTCTCGTCCATTATATTTCGGTTCTTTCCTGTCTTGAAGTCAGAACAGTGTGATTGTTTGGCTGTATCTCCTTTCGTGTGTTAACACCGTTTTTAGTTTGTGAACCTTTTTACCTCATTAGTGTTACTTTGCCTACTTTTGTCTTGCATATATATATATTGTTTGTTTTGTATTATTTTTGCCCTGTTCTTTTTCTTGTTATTCTTAATAGCAAACTTTGTCAGTTCTTTTTGTTGGCCATTTCTGTCAATTACATTTAACCATGACCAATTCGTCCATAAAAACATATGATGAAACTGAATTCTCTTGTCTGGCATTCCAATAATGAAACATTTGTCAAAATAACGTAATGGAAAACTCTGCTTTTTTTCTTTTTATAAATTAAAACAAAATTCAAACTTTTTACCAATTTCATTTCTAATGCTATTTCTATGCGCCATATTCTTCCAGGGTGTATTTATTCAAGGCCCTCCACAACTTCCTGTCTTTTGTTGCTCTTTTATTACCCCTGTTCATCTTTGCCACACTTGTTCCTCTCTCCATTTGCAGGGACATCACTCACCAAACATTTTTCTTGTTACATATCCCAAATCTTTCAACTGTCTCTTTATTGTTAGCAACAGTTTCTTTGTAGTTCCTATTCTCCTTAAAACTTCCTTATTTCTCACATGTTCTGTTCATGTAATTCTCAGCATTCATCAATAGAACCACATAATCTTTATAAAATAAAGCAACTTTGTCTTTTTGCTTTATATAATTTTCAACTTAAAACAAGGAAAAATATAATAATTAAAAACAAATTACATAGAACTGTTATGAAAAATATTCAAGTAAAAAAATTCAACATTTATATTATGATATTTAAACAATACACTATGGCTTCTCTTTAGATTCTTTATAATCACATTTAATTTAAAAAATAAACAATGCTTTCACAAAAGGTTATCTAGCTATGTTGTTTTGAAAATGAAGATAAATATTTTGGACCCATGTTTGGATGGGCAAATTTTAAATCCTAACAATTCCTTTTCTTCCAACTCAAAATTCATAAAATTTGCCCAAAAAATAAAATTTAAAAAAAAAAAAAAAAAAAAAAAGAAGATAACTCACAACATCATCAACCAAGTCCTTTATTGCTGTAATTGCAAACACTGCCACCAGAGGGATGAATGTTGTCAGAGGGGTCAGGGAGGAGATATAGGGTATAAACTGGTAACCATAAAGAAATGAAGAAACACATAAGAAAGAAGAAAATTAGCAGACAAAATCAAAGAGACAATTGGCATGAATAATAAAAAAAATACAATTTGGTAAAAATGCCACAAGTTTTTCAGCCTTGTTTTCACTTCTAAGATTTCTATAGCATTTAGGCAGATTTTTTCTTCAGCCTTTTTTGTATTTTGTGTAAAAGTAAATTTATAAAAGAATTATAAACTGCCAGCCACACTTTTCTATTAAAAATCATTCTATATTTTTTAATTAATTGAAAACAAGCACTAACTCAAATTAAGAGGAAATTTAAACATTTTTTCAAATTCCACATGTATATATGTACTTATTGAACCTGCAAGATATTGTTGAAAAAATCTGATGGACTAATCAAAATGGTTTAATTAGTGTTACTGTTGCAAGAAAACTTAAGTTATTCATCTAAATTTTAAGCAGTTATGGTTTGATTAACTTAATTATAGTTTAAGGAAAAACCTAAATTTACATTATGTACTATAAGAATATTCTATATCACATGACAATCTTCTATACCATCTTGAATAGAAAGATTATGGTGGTGTCAATTATATGATAGTGTTAAGTTGGAATTCCGATTTCTAATTTGATTGCCAATGTCTTCTCATTCCTATTTTTCTCCCGAGGTAACTTAATTTGTAGGTTCTGCAAAAGTAGTAATAATAATTTTATTAGTTAAAGATTTTCTGGCAAATGTGGATAAATGTGCCCACAATAAGACAGAGTATCAAAAGGATAGTTTTTTCCAATGACATCATTTTTATTTTAACTACCTTCACTCTTCAGCAATGTTTATCACTTTGAAAAGCAATGATTAGAATTGAAATAAAACCAAAACACATGTAAGTGAATTTATATATTTTCTTTGTTCTTGAGTATTGACAGCAAAAATAATAAACACTATTTATTAGATTGTTTATTTACACTATCATATTTATAGGAATGGTTGGCAAGACATTGGCTAATTGCCAATTGGTTCAAACTTTATAAAATGGTAAATAAGGATTTCCTTATAGTCGGTTCACATATTTTAATAATTTAGTAAATGTTTATAAATTTATAAATAAAAAGTTGTTTTCACATTTACTTTTTTATACATTGGTAAACAATAAATATTGCATTGCATTAGTTTTAATTGTATTAGTTTTTAGAATTTCGTAAATATAAAATTCTTCTTGTAAATAAACAATCTAATAAATAAATAGAATTTAATATTTTTGTTGTAAATTCTCAAGAGCAGAAAAAATGTATAGATTCAATTTTATCATGTGTTAAGGTTTTATTCCAATTCTAATCATCACTTTTTAAAACAAACATTGCCAAAGGTTGAAGGTAGTTAAAGAAAAGTGGTGTTATGGGGAAAAGACTGTCCTTTTGACATGATGTATTATTGCAGGCACAAAGGTTCATGTTTGCCAATTTTCCTTGTGCAGAACAAAATCTTTCTTATTGCTATTAAAACAGACATACTTCAGGGAAGAAAGTGGTAAAAGAAACGGTACAATTATCAGGAAAAATAGTTTGAAAAAGTAAAAGAGATAGCTCATAGGAATCACTTCTATCTATACCAACATAACAGTTCCAATCTTAACAGATGTCTCCTTGTATCCGCTTGTAATGAGTGTAAGTGTATCCTCAATGAAGCAAAATATAGATAGAATGAGAGACTGTATAGCCTCTCACAAGTTTGGTTAAAGAGATTACTGTGCTGAACAAGAGTAAATCCTCAACTCTTCCACTCTTTAATCAATTTGAAGTATTGATATCTGCAGATAAAGCAGAATGCTTTGCTCGGAAATTCTCTTCCAACCACTAAACTCTTCATCAGCATCTTTACTTGATTTACCACCTAGAGTGCAATCTCTACTGAGTGATACACACATAACACTGTCCATTGTTTTTGCTATAATCTTCAACCGAGATTCCCACAAGACTAGTGGATTTGACAGTATCACTGCAACTGTCCTAAAGAAATGTGCTCCTGAACTGGCTCCTGTCCTCTCTAAACTAATAAATGCCTTTCTGCTTCTTGCTTTCCAGCTTGTTGGAAATCCTCCTCTGTAGTTTCTATCTTTAATAACTCTGGTGAATCTTCTGAGCCCTCGAATTATTCCTCTATTTGTCTTTTACTTCTTTTTGGCAAAGTGCTAAAGGCTCTAATCAATGCTGAATTGGTTAAGCACCTCACTTCATACAACCTTCTTTCAGATGAACAGTATGACTTGTTTCTCTATTTCCATTGCCAATGTGTTAATGGTTATTAATAAATTTGTCTATCAGGCCTTAGTTAAGAACAGCAAGGCTTAGGCCGTGGCTTTAGATATCATGTTTGACAAGGTTTGGCTTTCTTCACAAAATCAAAAGATTCACTGGACAAATATTTGGCTTAAACCAATAGTTCTTAACAAATCGTTTCAATGGAGCGAACATGCTTCTTGTTCATTTTACATCAATGTGGGGTCGCCCAAAGCTATTTCCTCAGACCTATGCTGTTTCATATCTTCATCAACGACCTTCCTGATGTGACCAGTTTCCAACTAGGTATTTATGCTGATGACAACTATTTACTCCTGGTTTAGTAGCAAATCTGATAAGTCCAACAAAGTAAAACTGGCAGCTACTCTCAAAAATGATCTCCAATTAGTAGTTAACTGGGGCAAGGAATGGCTTGTAAAGAGCACCTTTTCTACCTTCCATCAGCATGACTCACTTCTGACAGAGCAACACTCTTTTGCTTTCTTGGGTTCAGATTTTCCACTGATATGAAGTGGAGTGATTATATTGAATCAACTGCTATATCTACTGCTAGGAAGCCAATGTACACAACTATATCAAGAAATCAAAAGAAAATGATTGAATCCATCAGCACAACAATAAATATATATATATATATATATATATATATATATATATATATATATATATATATATATATATATATATAAAACCCTCATTTAAAATATTTCTCCATGTTTATTCATGTTGTACATTTGTTTTAATTCCTTAATTGAGCTCTGAAGAGAGATGAACAGAAACTTGTTTTATTTTTTTCTCTTTTCTTTTTCCAGCCACTGCTCATGGTAATTATTCCTCTTTCTTCCATTTTTATCCGTTTTAACAATAATAATGTTTTCTTAGAAAATAAATTTTTTTACTATAATATTTAATTCTTTTTTATTTCACAACTGAAAAACAAACAGACTGAGAGTGTTATAACAAATAAGACTGTATTAGACTTTTTTTCTTTTTTTTGTAGGGGAAGGAAAAATAAACACTGAAAACTCCAAATATTATTTTAATGCTATATCAAAAACCTATTTTGTTTTATCTGTTTTGCACTACTTAAATACACGGGTCCCCCCTTGTTAAGAAAATAGGGAAAACAATTTTAGGATATAATTTCTTGCTATTGCTTGTTTACATTTTTTAATGAATATATGTTTATTCTTTATCTAAAAGAAATTTTTTTGTAAAGAAAAAAAATCTGTTTTCAGACACAGATACCAATAACATTAGCACAGTTTCAAACTTCACATTTGTAAATAATAAACTAAGTTTAGATAACTCTTAAAAATTCAGGAATCAGTTTTACATGTTATCAATATTATGAACAGGATCTACTAAAATGATAAAAACATTTTTTGAATCTGACAAATGCCACACTTTGAGGAAGGCCTAATGAATGCTAATCTATAAAAATTATTCTCTGAAAAACTTTTGCCTATTATTTTTTTTTTTGTTTTTACAAGTGGGCCAGTCTTTAAGTAGTGCCACCAGATTTAACAACACATGTTAAATCTGCTAGCAGTTCATGCCATTTGTTTCTAAGAAACCAAGAATAGCTTGCATAAAAATTGTAATGCTTGTAAAATCCCAAATAAAAAAAAAAAAAAAATTTTCCAGTCCAAACATGAATTCAAAAATGAAAAATCAATCTCAGAATATGTTTTAGTTGATTTACAGTTCAATCGACCAAGAAGTTGGTGGAACTTGGAAGCAAGTGTTATAAACAAACAAAACTTGTTCAGATGATATAAGTGGAGCTGCTGAATAGTTCTCAGCCTGAGCTACTTCCCAAAATCCGACCAAGCAAAGACATCCCTATCAGGCCAAGAACTTTTCAGTATTCCCTTGTAGGAATTGAGTCTTTAATAGAAACTAAAAAAAAAAAAAAATAAAAATGCTAGTAGTATCCATTGTTGTGACAAAGATGAAGAAACATTCTGACAATCTATTTAAGTGCAAACAAAACTATCCTTTTATTTCCTGAATAAAATATATTTGTGTGACCTTCAGGGTTGGTTGGTTGGGTTTTATGGCATATCAACCACTGTAGGTCATTTAATGCCAAATTAAGTTACATATATATATATATATATATATATATATATATTATATATACACACACACGCACGCACACACACATGCATACATACATACATACATACATATACCTATATATATATTAAATATATAGTACTATTAAACTTATAGCTGGCAACATTATTTTTTCAGAAACGTATAGCTGGCAACATTATTTTTCCAGAAACGTATAGCTGGCAACGTTATTTTTTCAAAAACGTATAGACAAACGAATAACAATTCGAATGGGGGGGGGCCTGAAAAGGGAACTATATAATAATAATATTATTGTAATAATTTAAACTATTTATTCTTATTAAAATTTTTATGAAAGATATATATCCAAGAACAGATAGTAAATAGTAAAACATTGCTGAGAGTTATAAGGGACAGGAAGTAGTGGAGAGCCATTGTTGCCAACAATTTGGACTCAAATCTGGCACTGAAGAATTATCTATCAAACAAAACAAATTTCATTAAAATCGGATGAAAACTGTGGAAATGTATAAACAACATCCGATCATATACATACACACACACACACACACACATTTTGAGAATTATATATAGATTGACTGATTGTCTTCTTGCTACAATTTGAT